TGAATCTAGATCCCAACCAATATTCCCGATAACATGCGTCCTAGTATGGAGTAGGTTTGTATAAATTAGGGGGTAAATACGAGCTAACGCAGAACAATATCGACATTACGTGGAGGACCGCATCGGAGACACTCCCTAAACCGTCATCGCTTAGCGATGGCGGGCGATCATGGGATGAGTCAGCGGGAGCTATGGCCATCGGTTACCGATGGATGGTAGCCCCCCCCTGAAGTTGGATCTTCGTTGATCCACCGATCATTTCCGAATAGGAAGGAGGTTATTGGGCAGAATTGTTCATATAGTTACAACATAATACAACATAATTCTACAACATATACATGCAGTTATGGCGGACGAATCTTGAAATTATCCACTTAAAAAATGAGGACGGAATTGAAAGGAGTGATTTCGATATGGTCATATTAGTGAGAATCTAATTATCAATAAATTAAATACCTACATAAATAACATAGAATATGTATACTACTGCATAGTCTTCGTCGCGGGAAGATCCCATGTGGATATCCTAGTGATCGGACGTAGACAGGTGCATCGGATTGAATGCCAGATTAGGGCTTGTTGCCACGTGAAATGGGAGCAAAATTAAATAAAAACAAGGTGCATATTGTATGCGTGGCACTTGCATATTTACCAGGCGCGTCCACCGTCCAATAGAAGCACCTTCCCAAGTAGGACAAGCGTAAGATCGGATCTACCAATCCCCGATCGGCGTATAACCTTGGAACAAGCTTGGCGGTTTAGAATTCATAGTGACCTCGGTATCCACGAGGAATTACTCCGTAGGTAATTTTAAATTTCACGGGTTACAACCTTGGAATAGGTTTAGATACGGAGTGACATTCGAAGAGGCAAACCACTTTTTAACTTTGGGAATTCCCTCAAAGGTTAACGCTTGGGGAGGAATTTAATTTTAATTATAGTTTGGGATTTCCCTTGATGAAACACAAACACGATGTGATATGTGATACAGCAGACACAATGCGCATGGATATATGCAAGTGCCATGTGTCAACCTTTCCGCAAGGCAACCAGTACTCTGCAGTGAACATCGTATTTGAACAGATATATTGTAGAGGGTACTACTATGTACTCCGTATATTGTATACAAGAGAAATCACATCTGCGAAGATCCAAGTTCCTCGCGTGGTTGGACATGTTCAGCCCCACTGATTTGCGACATTAACCCGACCTGGACAAGCCTGTTGTGTTCGGGAAGAAAGGGGTGAGACAGTCGCGTGGCATGGGTCCAGTGCCCGGGATCAAGAAACGATCAGCGATCACGGCTGAATCCGCTACGTACCCGGATCTATGACCTAAAGAGGATAGCTCGATCACCTTCAATATGGCGTTCCTCGGTCAGATTGACCATCTGGGCAGACTATTGATTGTTGACTGGAAAAATAGAATGTTAACTCCGTACTCCGTACGTGGCTTGGAGATAAATATAGTGAAATGGAAGGGGGAAAAGTAACTCTTGGTTTAACATTCGAAAAAAAAAAAAAAGAAAAAGCTAAATGTAAACGTAAACGTAAAGGGTAAAATTGCGCCCATGGGACGAGAATCGAGCGGATCACACTTCTCCCGGTTTTATGGCAGAAGAAAAAAAAGGCAAAAAGCAAAAATAGGCTTCCGAGCATGAAGCTTCTCAGAATGCAGATCTCTAAAAGTGCATTTCCTATATGACACCGGAGGACTGCTTATGACTATGACTTAAATGACTTTATGAGGGTGAGAATGAAAGGTCAAATATACATTTACCCTGGGCCGAACCAAGGGAGGCCCAATCAATGACCCTGGAACACAAACACCGGGACCAATCTCAGTTGAGGATAGGCGATCCGAACCAAGTGCCGACAAGGGGGGATCATCCGTAGGACCGGGACGATCCTAACGCTCGAGCCATTCTTGAATAGTAATCAATAAATCGATATGTAATCATGCTGATAAGGGTTTTGCCGGGTGGGACACGGAGTGCAGAAATGAATTATGAATTAAAATGGACATATGTATGTATGATCCATAACTAACTACAGTTACCCAGTTGCCATCTAATTCATTTTATGCAGTCCGTTCTCTGATATTACTTCCGTCACCGGCGATCTCTCGTAAAGGGCTAAATAGTGGAGCTCGCTTCCACGAGGCCGGGACAAATCCACCCCTAACGGCCAATCCCCAGTCGCGCCTGTGCAGAAATCGTGCACGGCCGGAGATGGTGAGAGGTAAAATGGTAATAGGAGTAATGTTCCAGAATGCCGATCGTGTCAATATGGAACTCGTTTTCGCCGGTTGCCATAGTTTAGTTCCACGGTTTTGAGGAATGATATTCAGGAGCGAGGTCTTAGATCGACTCTAGGCCTTGAATCACCTTCTCAATTTAGTATCAGTACGGGGTTTCAAATGCCGGAGCAATCTTTCCTTTCCTCCATTACCAACCCAGATCAACGACTAGACAGCGACTAGAGAGTACGTCGTAGATTAACCGGATATTGTATACGTATCATGCATCAGAGTGGGAGGGTTAGCATGCCTTCTCCATGGATGATATACCCTCTGCTCATTGTGCCTGTAAGGTTCGTGTAAGCGAACCCAGAGCCATAGGTTAATAATTGTTTCAGCCATTCCTATGGTTTCGCCCCCAGCGCTTAAAGTCGCTGTGATGGTAATTAATAGATTAAATTAAATTTCATATTACATCCCAGGAAACCTTGGAACGCATGAATGGAGTACCCTGACCAACGTATAAGCAGCGCAGGTGTAAATACAGTTCCAAGGTTCCGGAGTAGTGGCTCAAAACGGACTAGCGTCATCCCTTTGTGACCTTCCCTTTTCGCTCGCGCCGTTTTACTCCATAGCCACGCGACAAAATGATCTCCTGAACCGTCCACGGTCTCATCCCCCGGGTTTTATACCTATATTATTGTATCATTATCGTAGTTCAAAGGGAGACATACCGAGAATGATAATATCAATATCTACCCCCCATAAAACCGTTCATCTTTTATATCACTCGTAGATCAACAGATCCCTGATCGATCAACCGTTTATGGGGTGGCTTGTGATATGTGACAGGTCGAGCAGGATCTGCACTAACCGTAGCCGAGGTGCAATCGTCCAACGGGGTCTTTACGGCCTCCCAATTTGGGTTTAGTGTACTGCACATCCCACAAGGCTGGAAGGTTGGGGCTTCTGTTTTCGCGTGGGTGAATCGTCATTCCCCCCACGTTAATCTCCGAAAAGAAATTTTTAATTTTTAATTTTCTTTTTATTTTCGCTTAAATTAATTTTAAATTGAATTTGACTAAACCTAAATTAGGAAGAAAATCAATTAAATTAAGCTTTGGGGCAAGCTGCGTCTCATTAAAAATAATTAAAATAATTAAAAGAAAAGAAAATAGAATTCAAAATAAAAGATTAAAAGATTAAAAAAGAAATTAAAAAAGAAATTAAATTTTTTTAAAAAAAAGAAAATGTTGTAACGAAAATCGTAATTTTGCCTATGTCGGCACCCTCCGCTGGCGATCATCTAAAGCCGCCCGCCTGCTTTCGAGGTATAAACCTCGTGGCATCCCCCACTCACTGAACAAAGCCGAACTTGAAACGCACCTGGATCAAACCTCTCTCCAACACATATTCTTCATCATGGATCTTGCGAACCTCCTCTCTCACAGTACGGCTGTCATGCCGGGGTATACTCCTCTCGAGTCCAGTTACTATAAGCGCTCGCCGCCTCTCTCGCCGCCAGCCGAAGAGCCTAAGGTCTCTTTGCCCTCAATCTCATCTCTCTTTGAGGGTGCCGATGGTGCTCAGCACGCAGCTAGTGAGTACTTCCAACTATACTACAATCCCCAAAAACATCCTCGCTAACCCTATACCTCCCAGAACGCCAACGTCTCTCACCATCTCTCGGTGAACGCCACGTTCAGGTCCAGTCCTACGAGCTGCCTCCAACACCACCTTTGCGTCCCGGCTCCGGCCACGCCCATCGCCGCGCATCTCCCGTGGAGTCGCTCTCTCACAAGGAAGCGCACCATCACCACCACCTACACCGTTCCTCTATCTCCAGCAACGGCTCAATCCACATCCCCCGCAACACAGCACCATATGCCTCGCCCGCCCCCAGCGTTTCATCTTACACCTCTCCCATCGACGCTCCCCAACAGCCAATGTACTACCCACGCCCACCAACCACATCCTCTTTCCAGCCCTCGACACCGGCATCAGCTCCCCAGATGCCTACTGTTCAGGTCCAGACCCAGCAGCCGCACTCGCACTCCCACTCTTCTTCGGCTCTCATCTCTCCCGTCACCCCGGCCTGGCAACACCACCACTACTTCCCGCCTTCCACCGCAGCCCCGTACCAGCAGAACCATGACCGCTATATCTGCCGTACCTGCCACAAGGCTTTCTCGCGCCCTTCTTCACTGCGCATCCACTCCCACTCCCACACTGGCGAGAAGCCCTTCCGCTGTACACATGCTGGCTGCGGTAAGGCTTTCTCCGTCCGCAGCAATATGAAGCGCCATGAGCGTGGCTGCCACTCTGGTCGCCCGGGCCCTGCTCCTGCTGCTACTGCACTTGTTGTATAAGCCGTTGCGGATTTGTTGTCTCGGTATTATTTCGATTCTTGTCATATTGTTTTTTTTCTAAAGGGGGTTTTTTCTTTTGTCCGGTGGAGGTTTCTTTTGTTTGGCGTTGTGTGTGATGCCGTGATACCCTGGATCTTGGTTTTGATTCTTTTTTTCATCGGATTCCCATTTGGTTTAGATGGGTCGATTCTATACACTATATAAAGTAACGATTCTCAATGTACATTCTATGATGAAGACTATTATCTCTCTGTTCGGTTATCCTGTGGCTGTCTTCGTAGTGCTCATAATTTCATTTGTTCTTTAGTGAGTGCCCCCGGCCGAGGCAGCGAGTGCTTCTCTTCGGACTGCTCAAATCATGAAAGGGGCCCAGGACATAAACTTTTATAACAATCATTCTTGTCTATCTGTGCCCTATATATATGTATCATCACATAATTACCAATCTAACCTTGGAAGTATCTGCCCAACACAAGGCAAATAAAAAATAGAACATAAACTCATAAAAACCCAAACCCTTCCAAGATCTACTCATCCAAAACCCCCTCACCAACGCAGCAAGACTAGTCTCATACCGCGCAGGATTATGATCACTCAACATACCACCAGCAAAGCGCAACTCACCAAACCAAGCGTCAACATCCCGAATGAACCGTATCTGCACACGAGTCGCAGGTCTCCCAAGACGCGGATACCCATCGACCGCGATCTCCGGTGCCGTAAACGCATCCCGCTGCAGAACCCGCATCGTCTCAACGACAAAAACCTCACCGGGCGGCATGAGTTTCGGCGCACGCATCTCATCCCGCAGCAGTTTCAACGTCTTCCAGGCCCAGGCGTCTTCGCCGACGCCGTCGCCGGCATTGACCACCAGCGGAGGCTGGTTGACGTAGAATTTGTGGATGATGCTTTGGCGGAGGGAATCGCTGACACGTTGGCGGATGTGCGCTTTGGCACCTGCGGTGTCGTCTTTGAAGGATAGTGAAGCTGTGTGCATGTCGTGCAGGATCCCTAGCGACAAGCTGGGGACTATGTCTGAGCCATTGACGATTGTTGTTATTAGGCCTCGCGTGGCGAGGCGGAGGAAGGGGGACATCACGGCTGGCGGGCCGTAGGCATAGACATGGATTGGGCGGTTCGTCGGGAGGGTATAGGTTGGTGGGTTGGGGTCCGGGGCGTTGATATTGGGGTTTCTATCTGCAGTCAAGAGATGGGGACGGGTGGCGGGGTCGTACGAGGCTGTTACGAAGGATGTGCCTGTTGTGGAGGGGTTGGGTTCTGAGATCATTGTTGCGAGGAGGGCTGCGACGCCTCCGCCGAGTGAATGCCCGCATAGGACTATGCCGTAGTCTTGGAATTCTTCTAGTGCCGCGCGCAGGGTGATCATGACTCGACCGCCGCCGCCCTCTAGGAGCCGCTTGGCGGAGGCGTGCATGCCTTTGTGCACCTTCCAGCTTTTGCCTTGCCATTCGAGGTCGTCGTAATCACAGGTCATATCTGTGAGGATATCCTCGAAGCCCCAAGTTCCTCGCAGAGTCAGAACCACGGCTTTGGAGTCATGGTCGATGGAAAGATAATGGACTAGTGGGAAGCCCGTCTCTGTCTCACCAGCTGCGTTCGAGCCACCAGCTGGATCGACGAATGACGATAGGAGGATCGTGGACGGTGGCAGACCTGTGTTCTCTGAGAACGCACTGTGTTCGTGGCCGTCTGACTTCGTACTAGGTATATTCTTCGAGCCACTGGGAACACCCATGACTGTGAGCGCGTTCGAGCCATATGAGGCAGAGGAGAATCGACAGAACCGGCGAATGTTTTGCACGAAGTGTCTCTCTGGAAAGATACCGGGAACAAAGCCATCGCGATTGAGCGCCTGGATGGTTCCCATATCTTCATACGCACTTTTGCGAGGCCGATGCGCAAGCAGCAGCGATGTCTCAGACCCTGCAGTTGCTAGGGAATATAGGCTGGGGGTGTATGATCTGGATCTCCGATGCATAGCCGACGAGCCGGGACGGTTATCATTTGCAAACAAAGTCCCGTCTGCTTCCGATCTCGTTACAGACATGGAGCTGCTGCTGCGAACATGAGTCTGGACTGCGGCAGGCGATCCAGGACGCGTACCAGCACCACGGCGTGAGAGGAATGTGTCGGTTTGAGTGAGGAGCGACTCTTGGCTCTCCTCTTGCACCGCATAATGCCCCCCTCGTGAGCCCCTAGAAACATGCCTTTCGTGAGATGGAGCGTTTTTCGTTTGCGACTGTGGTGACTGTCTTTGGGGGAGTTTGGGAAGGGCGACCTTCGTAAACCCCGGTTGGGAACTGGGGTTGTTGGTCGATAGTTCAGAGGCTCAGTTTGTCTCTTGTTGAGGGCAGGTCTACTGGAGACCTCTCGTGAAGTCGCTTCCTTCACGGACGCTGTTCCTTTTGCAGGCCTGGGAGGTAGACGAGGACTCGTCATGCCCGAGGGTTTTGATGAGGGTATAGGTTGCTTCTTTCCCGGTGGCCGCTTGGCTTCATTCCTTTCCAGAACAGCTGGTTTAACCTTTTGGGCGAATTTCGAGAATGGGCCTTTGTTAGATGCAGACTTGGGAGGTTCATTCTGCAAGTTGGGAGCTGTTCCACGGCGCTTGGGAGAAATGCCCTGTGTGACATCAGGATGTGAGTGCGACTGATCATGATGGGAATTCATCGGACTATTGAACAATGGATTGCCCGGCAATTCCCGTTTATGATGATCAGGCTCAGGGGTAGCAAGATTTCCAGAGCCATCATACGGTCGCAGCTGAGTGCTTTTGGATTTGTTGAAGGCTGTCCTAAATACCACCGTATGCTTGGGAGACCGTTTCTGGCTGTCGGGCGTGTTGGTAGCTCCGCAATCATGATCATGGTGGAATCTCTCCTCTATCATTTTTGTTCCAGGCGGAGCGGTGATCTCTGCCATATCATCATCGTAGACATCGACTGTGATCGTTCGCGCTGTCAGGACTTCCGATCTAATAGACGCGTGGCAGCCCTGAGGAAGTTGGCTCATAATATAAGCGCGGATATCCTCATCGGACACTTCCTGCTGACCATCCAACGGAATAGAGAGACGATGCCCAAACGGATCAGACATGCTCGACCGTTGGACTACATCAAAGGCTTCCTCGCCATTTCCAGGGATGACGAAGGAAGAATTGCCAGGCTCCGCCAACTCTTCATTATTGCGATCGGGAAATTGCAGTTGATGGGACCCGATCACGTCTGCTCTTGCGCCGTTATCCAGGATGACAACATCCCAAACAATCTCATCCGCGCCATTCTGTCGTAGATGTCTTTCGGTATTCTTTTTACCCCAACGCTGCAATAATGCGAAGCCTAGAGAGCCAACGAGGAGGTCTCCGACCCCGATATTCTGAGTACTTGCGCCAGGTTCAACCGATCTAAACTCACGTCGAATCAGCGTTATAATAGCCGCAATAGCCCTCGAAGACTCGGTGGATCCAAGAATGGCATCCAAAGTAGACAGCAGTGCTTGAGAGAGATTTGCAACCGAAGACAATGTGGTCGACGAGAAATGAAATGTCGCTGCAGCGAAGAAAGATGCCGAGGTTACCGTCGTGTGGAGCGTCGCCAACTAGGGGGTATTAATTGAGACTAAGCCGACAGACCTGCAGGGTTCAGGAACATACACTTCGCTCGAGTAGAGACTCCGCTTCTATCCTACCGTGTTCATCGCTACTACGAATCGCGACATCTCGTCCTGCCCTCGTCAAGATCCCCTCGACCAAAGCCCGGCTTAGTTCCAAGCTGGTCAAAGTCGTGGCTCGCGCACCATCCAGGGCTGCCCCGCCAAAGAATGTACCTAGTCGCAAAGATAGTGAGCTTGACTGGGTAATTAAAGATATCAATGATGCGATTGGTCGTGGGAGAAGAGTCGATCCTGAGGCTGGAGTGTGAGGATGTGGATAGTCGAGATTCATCTCGACATCAGGTTTTCCCGGGTCATTGGACTTTTTAAACATATTTTTTTCATTAAAATATGTCAAGAATGAGAATACATATGTATTTCAAGCCATGAAGATTTTACATTTACAGTTGAAGGCTGTCCCCGTACATGTAAGCCAGTTGATACCCTCACATGTGATCGACTCCCAACGAAATATGCCACCCGACACATAACTCTCTCATTGGTTATTACCTCACCGCCTACTTTACTACCGCCTTCTTGAAGCATTTATTATTTGTATACTATACACTTTATAGATTCACTTCAGATTCACTTCAGATTCACTTCAGATTCACTTCAGATTGGGATAGTAGGATAGTAAGAAATCAAGAGTTAAGAGTTAAAATTTAGGAGTATAAAGAGCCCGGTTTTTAAAAATTAATATAGTATTCATTTAACAATAGATTCAACATGATACTTGTGAAGTGAGAGTAGATCTAAATTATTGCCTAGCAATATAAACAATGAGAGAGCTGTGTGTTCCTCTGTTCCTCTGTTCATATCTACACCCTACATCGTCGCTTTAATGTCATTTCCGTACTGCACCTTTTGAATCTGATTTCTGTCGCAATCTTTCACCCTCCGGATCCATGATGGGTACGGTCGACTAAGTATGCCATCCAGGGCATAACTCTCTCATTGGCTTATATTGCATGGCAGTATTTTAGATCCACTCTCACTACCTAGGTAGTTATACAAAAACTAATTAGTTAACTATGGGACAAAACGAGAGTATCTATCAATTGCTCCGTAAATCCCAATGCCGAAGTTGACTAGGTTTATATGGCTATTCATATGCCATACAGAGTTAGCCTGGAAAGTGTGGAGGGGTGAGTGAGCACTAAAACGGAAAGGGAAAGCCATCTCGTTTCGCTCGGGCTAAAATCCGGTGTATATGTTCTGTTTCTCTCGTCACGTCACCGTATGTTGGCTTATCACCTAGGTAGGTAGTGGCCTTCTTAGGTAGTCTTCCCGGATACACTTTTTATAGATGGACGTCTCGTTATAAATACTTTGTTCCCCTTCTTAGTCTATTATGTCGGGCTAAAAAGGGCTTAATTTGTGACAGCGAATTTTGCATATATATAGTCTTGGAATTAGTGTAGCATTGGATTGGACATATGGTGTAGATATAAGGAAGAGGGAACAATAGTGTGCAATAGTAATACAATTCACTAGTGAGATTTCACATAAGTAACTAGGAAGCGAAGCATACCATAACATCCTTAATCTCACTTCAAATTGGTCTCTCCCCATCGCTACAGTCCATGTATTTTCTTTCTTCGCCCCTCTGACTTTGACTTGACCTCACGCCACTCCAATACCACTTCATTAAGCTAAGCACTGATCACAGCCTGCTTCCACAGCTTCAGTTCAGTTTCAGTTCAGTTTCAGTTCAGTTTCAGTTCAGTTTCAGTTCAGCTTCACTACGGTCCATATTACCTTTCTTCATCCCTTTTGACTTTGACTTGACCTCACGCCACTCCAATACCACTTCTTTAAGCTAAGCACTGATCACAGCCTGCCAAAGCTCTCAGTTTGTGCCGTTGGTCTCAGACCGATAGCACTGATTACAGCCTGCTTCCACAGCTCTCAGCCCAACGGCCTCAGTTCAGCTTCGCTACCCTCCATATTTCCTTTCTTCATCCCTCTAACTGTGCTTTGACCTCACGCCAATATATATATCCCTAGTACCGCTTCTTTAAGCCAAGCAGTGATCTCAGCCTGCTACAACAGCTCTCAGTTTGATGCCGTTGACCCAAACACTGCTCTTAGTTTGACAGAGCTGTCTTCAACACCCTACCTTTCCTCAACCTACTACCATTCGCATAAAGTTGACGCACTACAACCACTACGACCGTGGCGACCTCTCGAAGCGCTAACCAAAACGCTGCCCAAATACTCAAACAACCTCTTCCTCCCATGGAAACGGGCCCGCATACAACAAAAAGCTCCGCCATCCATCCAACCATTTTCGTTGGCCGGCTCGGCGAATGGAATGGATTCGAAACCGAGGTATATCGCGCCATTGACCGGCGAATATGGGGGAACATAACAACCCCGTACGTACAGACCAGGGAGCATGTATGTCGGAGACGAGCACGGAGTACAAAGACGGTTTCAAGAAAAGGTCGGAGAAATCGTTAGCCACATCGCCCTCTAGAAAACACCTAGCTTTGCATTCGCCGATTCGAAATGTGGCGTGCCTCGTACCTCGGATATACCTAACTTCATTATCATGAAGGAACCTGGTGATGCAATTGTGGTTGGTGAAATTAAATTTCCCTGGGTCACCCACCATCACATCGCCAGAACGGTGGCAGTCGCTGGAACTAGACCTAAGGAGGGTGAACTACGGAATTTACTGGGTAAGTCTCCTCGTGCTCGCAGTATTTACTCCTTTACTTACACAGCTCTAGGCCAGATTGCGAACTATATGGATGTAATGAATTTGAAGTATGGAGTCCTTACGACCTACGAGCAGACATTGTTTCTCCGACAGACTGTGCCTGGCGGGGCATAGACACTGGAATCATCGCTCGTGAAGCACTTTTCTGATACTTATACCAGTGCTGATCCTCAGTCTGTGACCGTGAGGCAGTGCTTTTGGTATATAGGTCAGTTAGCTTTGAAAGGTGCGCGATTCAATGGCTCCTCTCATACCCAGGGCCAAATCATGCTGTGGACAAATGAAGGATCAGTGCCTACCTACCGATAGATAGTGTTATTGTAATTTCAAGGAAATTGAATGAGATCGATATATTTATATATATATGTTTCATTTTACCTACTTTGGAAACGAATAGTGCCTTATTGGACATTAGACTAGTGTTTACCCATACATTTGTATTGTAGGCGAAAATGCTTCAAATATTGTCTAGGGAGATCAAACTTTGGAATTTTCCAGTAGACTTTATACCTTAGAACAATGTGCTTGTCACACTTAAGTTAACAACCTTGGAATGTATGATGCAAACACATCCCCCATCACTTCCATTCTTCACCTTTCCTTATTATTATCATTCTTCTACTCATAATCATCAAAAATGACATCCCCGAGCACCTGGTTCGACCAGGGACCTTCACGCGATTGCTACGAGTGCGGTAGCATTATCACCACTGATGATGGAACCCAATGGGAAATCCGCGAACGCCTCAAGCAAGACGACATCCCGAGAGCGGCAAATTCACGCATCTCACCCAGCCATGCTACTCTGAAACTGCGCTGTGTAAAGGCCAACGCGAACCCGAGTGAGAGAGGAACAAGCCCAGCATTTATGCGGGTGTATATACAAATCCCCCATATCGGGTCGGAGTGGGAAGATTCTGAGACTCGCGCCGCGCAAGCCGATCACAACTTCCAGCCTGAGGAGCTCGAGGCATATACTATGCTTAGCGATCACCCAACGGTTTCTAAATTTACACCGAAGCTGCTAGGATATAAGGTGTCGAGGCAGGGGCCCTCAGGCTTCGTTCCTGGTGGGTTTCTTATCGTTGTTATATGGGAATGTGTTGAGGGACTTCCCCTCGGCGATCTAACTGGAGGTGCGACTGGATATTGGTCTTTGTCGGGGAGTGAGCGTGCTGAAGTACGTCGACACGTTGAGAGGACCTTCAAGTAAGTCAGGTACTCTTAGTGGATCGTAGATATTTATTGACTTGTCGATTAATTCAGGGAAATCTCCTCTACCGTTGGTATCTGGCCCTTGCCTACTTCTCCTCACCGTCTAGTGTGGAATTCCACTACCAAGACTTTGTAAGTTTATCTCGACGAAAAGCCCCCTAATATTAGTAAACATAGATCGTCTAACCCATCGCCTGCAGATTCTGGGTAGGATTCCGTTGGTTCAATCGGAAAAAGGACAGGCTCTGGTATAAGGGTTGTCTGCCTGCATATAATCTGGTTAAGACCCCGAACAATCGGTGGTCACGTAGTGACTGGGATGGGGATATTTCAGGCTGGGAATACTAGCTATAATGCTCGTATCTCGGTGACTAGCCTAGCTTTCGCTGAAATATGGCAGCACTGATGTATCATTATCAAACCTAGTTAATTTGGATCTATCCTAATTTCTACACCTGTCTTCAGGGACTGAAAGTATTGATGTGCGCCAGGATATAAATAACAGCTTATGAACGGCGCCTGTTAACGTGGCTTGGTTGAGATCGGGCATTGAGCATACCCGAAGTAGTTTACCGGAAGGGTCATTTATTCTCTCCTCGTTTTCCAAGAACATCCACACGGGCTCGATGGTATCGTTGCCAATATCTTCGCTTTGGTAGAAGAAGGAATATCGAGGTAACGTGGCCAACAAACTCACGTACTTGCTTAATCAGGAATGCATATGTGAGGTCAGCGATGCTCCTCTTCTTGTCTTCGCCAACAAACAGGATTTAAAGGGAGCAAAGAGCCCGGTGGAGATAACAGAGGCGTTACATTTGCACCAGAAGATGGACATAATTGTATAGGACTACAATGCCAAGATGAGCGCTACTCTGTTTCTATCTTTTCCAATATACAGAAAGCCACAGACCAAAATTCTCTCAAAAGCACTCCACCCACTCCGGCCATTTAGATACTCCGATGTATTTCTTTACAGTTCCTTCTGATACTCCGCGGCATTTTGAAGAGCGGAAATACATACTACTTAAGCGCAGGAAACCTTCGTGGAAAAATGATATAAAATACTGAACGAATTCGTGGCGATGTGAACTTATTCCCTAACTCCAACCTGAAATTGACCACCAAAACCGCCGCTTTGTTGGAAAGCAAGAAGAAGTAGACGGCCCACGATGATTTCTAGCGCAATCTTTGAGCGCAAGGCCATCACCATGATGGGATTCCTCTTGATGGGATTGACCTTGGGGGATCTTATGGATCCTCAAGAAACAATCACTTCTCATGGCCTTGGCAAGAAGTAATCAGACATGAACTTGCCATCCTTCTATTCTTCCTGTTTCCACATCCACTATCTACCAAGGCTTACGCTAACTCTACTGGCGCCCAAAAATATCCTGTTCTATAGAGTGTCCTTGCGTAGTACGTAGGAAGTGAAGCGAATTAGTTATAGCTTTTAAGCCATCCATACTTTATCTAGTCGCATAACTACTCCGATCTCGAAGTCGCTCACCATATCTCCAAAGAACAATAGGTACCGAGCAGCCCATAACAACATCAACAAGAGCAAACATCGTTGTCCCCCATCCATAACCCAACGACTGATACATCCTTGGACCGAAAAGAGTAAATCCAGACCCCGTCAATCCACGAAGAATGCAAACAGCACCCGTCGCACTAGCCGCATACAAAGTAAAAGCCTCATATAGATATGCAATAGTACACTGAAACAGAATCATCGCAGCGCCGGCGAACAGTCCGATGCCGAGATCAGGCACAATCCAATGCATGGCAGCCTGCGCTCCCCATCCGTACCACAGCACACCGACTGGGTAAGGATCGAGGTGGGGAACATGAGAACTACCCTGAATTCTGCTTTGTCATTTTCGCCATGCTTCTTCAAGGCTCGGTAAACTGGATCCGCGAGGAACCCGCATACCTATGAGCCGAAGGAATATCTGATTCCCGGTGCGAGGTAGTTTAGACTAGCTGGGCCGACGGGCTGGTAGTATGTATCTCCCCACAAAGTTGTGCATGTGGAGAGTACTAGGTACATCAGCCCATATAGATAGATATGTCTCCTCCATACCGAGAAAACCAAGCACGATCAAGGCCCCGTCGGTCGAAGATAGACGTCGCCCAGAATGCCCAGCGCCATGTCGGGTATTAGGTGATGAACCCTCCAACGACAGCGCCCAGAGAAGGTCCAAAGCCAGGCCCAAGATTGTAGATGGCAATGACCCAGCCGCGCTCTTCTTTGGGAAAGCAGTCGCTAATGATACCAGCGCCGGCCTACGTTTGGTGCATTAGAGCATGACATGGTTGTAGAAGATAGGACATACTCACGACAAGACCACCCGCGCCTCCAATGCCACTGAGTAGTCGAGAAGTGAGGAACTCGCCTTTATTTCGAGCGAACTCACACACCAGGTTGAAGATCAGGTAGAATGAATTCCCCGAGTGTAAGATTGTGGCTCTTTTAAACATCTCGCTCAATAGGCCTAGCATCAAAGGGCCAATACAGTAGGTCAGGACGAAGGTTAAGAGGACTAGGACTGCTTCTAGAAGGGCGTCCATGTGCAGTTCGTCACAACTCGGGTGCGACAATTGACAAAGACAGTGGCATTAAAAACATGGAAAAAGAGACAACAAGTGTTATGGTCCATTTCCTTGACCCGGGCCAGTTTAGTGGGTTTCCGGGGTCGTTTTTCTTCAAAGTCAATGGTCAAGGACTGGTGGCTTTGTTGTATCTCGGCCGTTTCTTGGGGAGCATTTCCTGTGACTGCGGGTTTCTTGTTGATTCCATCAAACTTGGCGAGGATTGCCATTTGAAATTGGTTGACCCATAGTGTCAGTCCAAATAAAGAGATTGGAAGGATAGCAATGTTGAAGGGCATATTCCATCAAATTGAGTCATGATGAAAGATAGGGTGTCCATCCTTGCCTTATTTGAAATCAAGCGTTTGCGACAGGGCTGTCCTATTGCGCCATAGGCTACCTAGGTAGGTAGATAGAAGATTCCGAGTGAGTCATACTAGTGCAAACATCGCGAAGCGGGATCTGTAGCACACTCAGCACCTTTCAGTGTCTGGAATTTTTGCATGACTAGACTTTTTTACCTGAAAAGTTGGCGTAAATTGATTGAATGGAGGGGACGATCTTGGCCGGCTCTAGCGACTTCGACCCAGTTGAAACCAGATAAAGGAGACCAGTTCAGTTCCACCTTTTAATCAATTAAATAAGTTAATTGCCAATCACAAGAAATTTCACGCGAGCCGAAGGATCAAGAACATTGGTGGGTATCTCAAACAAAAAAAAAGCACAAACGCGCGTGTCAACGAAAATGATCTTCCCTCTACGAGAGAATCACGCCGAGCTCCAGATCTTGATGGTCATGTCATCAGACGTGTAGACCACCATGTTCTCATCGCGCGACAATGTAATGGCCCGAACCCAGCCCGAATAGCCCGTTAAGACACGGACGCACGCAAGTCCTAATGGCGCAGCCCATACGCGGATGGTTAAGTCGTCGGCCGCTGATGCCAATAGGTTCCCATCAGTAGAAAATGCGATCACGCGTAAAGGTCCAGAGTGTCCCTGGAGGACATTGAGCAAGGCGCCAGAAGTAGTATTCCAGATGCGCAGGTCTTTGTCCTGCGACCCCGACGCCAGCAGCTTCCCATCAGGAGAGAAACAGACAGCCCTGATTGAGGATGTGTGGCCAATTAGTCGATGGATTTCATTGCCGGTGGTTGTGTCCCAGAGGCGAATCGTATTATCGTCCGAGGTTGAAGCGAGAGTCTTTCCGTCAGGCGAAAAGGCCACAGCGCGCACCCAACCCGAGTGCCCATTGAGGGTTTTGAGCAGCGAACCCGAGCTCACATTCCACAATCGAACAGTAAAATCATCTGAGGCCGAAGCGATCGTTCTTCCATCGGGGGAAAATTCTACCGCTCGCACTCTGCCAGTGTGGCCCTGCAGCATGCGGTAGGTGAACCCGGTGTTCACGTCGCTGATGCGAATAGTCATATCATCGGAAGCAGTGGCTAAGAATCGGCCCGTGGGGGAAAATCGCACACAGCGCACCCAGTTGGAGTGGCCGTTGTCTTTTGCGGCGCCGCGCGGGAGACCGGTGTTGGCGTTCCATAGTCGGATCATCATATCATTGGAGACTGAGGCGAGGATTTCACCATTGCCGGAAAGGGCCACATCCCAAATAAAGCCAGTATGGCCATCAAGTGTTTTGGATGAGGTTAGCCTCCCAGCGGAAGGAGTGACTAGGTCCGCCATTGGTTGAAGCGGTACTTTTTGATTTTGATGGGTTTTGATTGTGCGAGACCCAGGAGAACAGAAATCGAGAATGCCGTTGGTCCGGATCTCCCTATGGCAGAGAAAGGAAAGTAAGCTTTCAAACAGCTAATTCAGGAGTCGTTTGCGAAGCTGTATAAACCGCGTTGACGTGTAGGATTTCTCATAATGAGAAGCGAGGTCAAAAGAGAGGTGTGCGCGTCAGAAGTGCATTGAGGGGTGAAGAGAATTGCAGGGAAAAAAAAGTCCCGTTCATGGCAGATATTAATCCCAATTGAATATGGTGCAGAAGGAGTAAGAAAGTAATAGTTCCTGTTCTCTGCAGCAAATAATAGGCAAAAATGACTGTCGGATTTGCTAATTAGGTAAGCTGGCTAGGCCGGTCCATTGTGATCTGCTGACCTTCCTAGTTTGCTCTGTAAATGTCGACTTTTTATACCTTCCAGGCAAGGTACTTGTTATAACTACTTAGGTATGTTGTAGATATATATCCTACGGATGATGGATGTTTCTAGACTAGGGAGGGGATTCGCTATATTTGACTGGACTTTTTGTATTGGCAGGCTCTTAGTTATGCATGTTCGCCTCAGGCATACACATCTTATGTCATCATATGCAGACTCAAGGTTACTCACCACAGTTATAATCTATACTAAAGACTACTAAGGACTACAAGGTACATTGAGAATTGGTTGAATATATTTATGTTAAGATTATAATGTAAATTTTTGAATACAATCCGAAGAAATAGAAGAAACAAAACACATTTAGGTCATAAGTGCCCCCCTAGTTATGTATGTACATAGGCACTTCTCTTATCAATCGGCTGCTAGGGGGATCCTTATCCAACCTCTTGGCGCTTGGCAACTTTAATTCTTCCTTTTTCGCTTTTGGCTTTTTGCCTGAGATTGTTCCCTTAACCTTGGAACATCATTGAAGTGACCTCCGGAGACACCCAGGTCCTGGGGCCGAATCCATTCATCCTCTAACTATCATCCTTTCTACCTGAAATTTGGCTCCTCACCATGGGCCATCCTGAGCCTGACCCCGGCTCACCTAATGACCAAAACGTGCCCGATGAAATCAGCTTAGGACCAACTCTTCACGAGCAACAGATCGAGAAGACTCTCATTAGAAAGATTGACCTGCATATCCTTCCCATTGTGGTGTTGTTGTATCTCTTCAGTTTCCTAGATCGAGGTACGTGGGGGTGGGGTGTCTGACTCATCCCTTTGCGATTGCAACTGGCCTGTGACAACGTACAATAAGAAAACCCATTGGCTGACTTGAATATGCAGTCAATATTGGAAATGCACGATTATATGGCCTGGAAGAGGACTTGGGGCTCGTTGGCAACCAGTATCAAGTCTCCGTGTCTATCCTTTTTGTGACCTACTGTGTATGTATATCACGCAATTCAGTCACCGCACGGACGCTAACCCTAATGTTCAGTTCTTCGAGGTCCCTTCAAATCTTGTACTCAAGAAACTAAGGCCATCTCGGTATATCGCTACTATCTCAGTGATGTGGGGTACCATTGCAACCCTCACAGGAATCACCCAGAATTATGGCGGCTTGATTGCCTGCCGAATCCTACTTGGAGTCGTAGAAGCAGGTCTTTTCCCGGGCTTCATAACATACCTCACTCTTTTCTATAGCAAACGCGAGATTGCCTTGCGAACAAGCTACCTGTTTAGCAGCGCTGCTATTGCCGGAGCCTTTGGCGGGTTGCTGGCTTACGGCATTGGGTTCATGGACGGCATCAGCGGACTGCGAGGCTGGCGCTGGATCATGATCATCGAGGGAATTCCAACAGTTCTACTTGGCGTGGTAACTTGGTTCACCTTGGCAGATGACCCGGACACAGCTTACTATCTCAACAAAGAGGAGCGGGCGCTTGTTGCCCTCCGCCGGAGTCGTTATATAGGCCAGACAGAGTCTGCGCAGAAGTTCCACTGGGCGGATGTGAAAGAGGGTGTCTTAGACTGGAAGATCTGGGTGTTCTCCTTCGGCCAGTTTGGTATCGATACCATGCTCTATGGATATAGTACCTTCCTTCCTACTATTATCAAAGGCATGGGAAACTGGACCACGGCCGAGGTCCAGGCATTGACAATTCCTTGCTACGCACTGGGTGCCATTGCTTATTTGGGCGTTGCCTGGTTGAGCGATCGAACCCAACACCGTGCATTTTTCATATGTCTCTTCTGTGCTATCTCAATCGTTGGCTATGGTATCTTGATTTCAGACTCGTCCTCGGGTGTTCATTACTTCGGCGCCTTGATGGTTGCCCTGGGGCTTTACGTTGCTGTTGGTTTACCTCTCGCCTGGTTACCTACGAACCTGCCACGATACGCAAAACGCAGCTACGCAACTGGCTTGCAACTCACATTTGGAAACATCAGCGGAGTCATGTCTCCTTTCTTGTATCCCAATTCCGAAGGCCCGCGCTTCGTCCGTGGCAACGCTGTCACTTTAGGTATGGTGGCATTTGCGGGTCTGGTGTATGGTTTTATGTGGATTTCCTATCGTTTTATCAACAAACGTAGAGCCCAGGGTCTGGAGGATGAAAAAATATCATCGCTGTCGGAGCAGGATATCCAGGAAATGGGTGATCGAAACCCCAGGTTCTTGTATAGCATTTAAATACTCGACTCGAGCTATCTCTTTGTTTGTGAATGTATTATTTATTTCGGGTGATGTCTTACAAGATTGGGCTACCGCCCTCTGTGGAAGTAACAACCGTAAGTCCCGAAGGCGACCCCTCCAAAATGATGATGTCATTCCCAACTGGGGTATAAGTCCCGGGAGAACTGAGAACTAAATCGATCAAACATCAATCTCTCCACTCTGAACTCCAATCTAAACACGATTCACAGATCTATCAAGTTGATAGCAACCGCAATCACAAACCATGAAGACCTTCAAGCCCCTGAATCGGGCATATCAAGCAGTCACCACAACCTACCCCATACACTCACATCCCCTTCCCCTTCGCAGCACGTGTTATTTCCAAGCACAGAAAAGACCTCAGTCAGAGGAACTCATCCTCGAAAGGTGTATCCTCAACCCTGCACGAGCAGAAACCTGCCAATCAGGCACAGACGACGAGGTCGGGCGACACAAATCTCCATACGACCCATCCAAAACAGCACCTGAGAAGGAGCACCTCGCACTGGAGGAAGAATACAAACAGGAAGGGGATACCATTCACGATCCGCTTTTTTTTAGTCCTGCAAATAGGGATTTCAGTCAACTTCTGGATCCGATGGCTGGCGTCATTCGTGCTTTGCAACACCCAAGGAGTGTCAAGGGTTGGACTAGAAAGCGGAAGGAGGCACTTCTAAGGAAGGCGCCGTACGAGATCAGGAAATATGAGAATGTATTTATTGAGGCTAGAAAACCTCATGAAAAGGTTGGTTTGAACGTTGATATGATTGGCTTTCTTCGAGGCTGGCTAACTTGGTATAGAAGGGTTGAGTTACCGGTTGACCAGAATGTTTTCCACTCTTCTCCATTGTCAGTTGTTATCAAATTGAGAATAATGACATTTGCAACTGTACTCGATCGGTTCCTTGCTGATTTTTCTCACACAAAATGTTGAATCTACGCCTGGGGAAAGTTCAGCTTAACCCAACCAGACCAGGACCCCATTTTCGTTCTCGAACGTCATGCTGATTATTTCTGTCCACTCTTTAGTATTATAGTTGGATACAGTCGAGAATGTCTGGAAAATACGAGCCACAATGTACGTAAGCACAATCATAGCATACCGTTCTGCATGATCATATTGCGTTGGTCCCCAGATAAAGCACTAGTCGTCGACAGACGGCACATGATGCGAATCATAAAATCAGTTAGATCGGGAAAAGAAAGGAAATATGCCAAAGCAACAATTACAATAGAACTCCTGGTATTTGTTCGCCTGTGAAATGAAATTGGGCCAAGCATTGGCCCCGGGAGGTCGCCGAATTAGTGGGCCACTCCCTACACGCCTCCACTTCGATCTCGGCATTTCAGCCGTCTCATTTACTATACACTCCCTACAACGTAGGGTTGAAACGGATTCAAAAAGATCGCCGATCACGGGATGTGAGGTGAACACAATGAAGGTGTGTGCTTGACCCCGAAAGATATCCGACTGATCCGTAGGCTCTCATAAATACTTTGGTATGTGCTCTTTATAGATTGCTATACATATATCACCCTGCGATTAAACCCAAAGCTCCCTTTGAAAAAAAAATCAGGCTATAATGCCCGAACCAACGGAGCAGTCGCAAAAAGATGCTATTGTATCAGACTGGGCCAATGATCCGGATAATGCAAAGAATTGGTCGACAGCCAAAAAGCTTTACAACACTGCTGTGCCTGCTTTATTATGTTTTTTGATGTAGGCGAGCATTTCGCCAGGTATATATATGATGGCCCTGCTAATACAAGAGGCATTTCGCAGATCATTCGGACTGGCGATTTATTCGCCATCTCATGAAAGCGCCCAAGAGGATTTCCACACTAGCACCACTCTCGCCCTGCTCCCCTTCACACTATACGTCTACGGTCTCGCATTTGGCCCAGCAGTCTCAGCACCACTAAGTGAAACATTTGGTCGAAGATTTATTTACGTCTTTGTGACACCGATCGCGTTGCTGTTTATTCTGGGCGGCAGTTTTGCGAAGAACCTTGCGGCTCTTGCCATCTGCCGACTGTTGGCCGGTATCACGATCTCTGCGCCGCTGGCTGTTGGTGCAGGAACTATAATGGACATGTGGACAGGGGTAAACATAAATCGCGGCGTGGTCTTGATCATGACTATTGCATTCCTGGGCCCAGCGCTCGGCGAACTGGTCGGTGGCTGGATCGCCCAATACAAAAACTGGCAATGGTCGCTATGGACTACCTTGTTCCTTGGTGTAGGTGTCTGGATCTTCGCGCTGGGAGCCCAGGAGACTTATGCAGGTCCTGTGATGCGTCGCAAGGCTAAGAAACTTGGCTTGCCTATACCGCCGGCCCCTGTCCCAGCCGGCCTAGCTGGAGTCCGTTTCATGGTCACAGTCACGCTAGCAAGACCGCTTTATATGCTCATACGCGAGCCTATTGTGACACTTTGCTCACTCTACTCTTCGCTGAATTTCTCTATATTGTTCTGCTTTTTGGCATGCATTCCGCTAATTTTCAGCACCACTTACAACTTCACGCCTGGAGAAAGTGGGCTAGTATTGATTGGAATTGCCGTGGGATGCGTTCTTGGGGGTATGGTTTTGATCCTCCTTGATTCTTATACTCTGAAGCGACATCTTTTCAAGTATAAGAATGCCGCACCACCACCACCCGAGCGCATGCTGTGGGGCGCAATGATAGGAGGTCCTTTGATGGCGGCTTCATTGTTCTGGTTTGCGTGGACTGCCCGGCCAGGGATCCATTGGATTAGTAGCATTGTGGCGACAGGTCTGTTTGGTTTCTCAAACATTCTGGTTTTTGTGAGTTGGCTATCCGTTCGCATTGATTATTACAGTTTTTCTGACGATGTCATTACTAGGTTTCGACAATGCTTTACTTGACCAATGTATACGGTGCCAAATACGGAGCATCGGCGCTGGCAGCCAACGGGCTACTGCGATATCTCGTCGGTGGCTCATTTCCCCTGTTCACAATTCCAAGTATGTCGCCCCGTGTGCTTTTTCTTCGAGGAGACATCTTGCTCATATCCTTCTTAGTGTACAGGAATCTTGGTTACCCCTGGGCCTCGAGCTTGATTGGGTTTCTGGCAGTCGCGTTCGCCTTTTTGCCATGGATATTCTACATATTCGGCAGCAAGGTCCGTCAGTCTAGCGCATACATTCAATAAGGCCTACACATACTGAGGGAAGGGTCCTTCAACATGCATTCACACATATACCTTCGAGGCATAATTTTATTGAACGAGCATTTAAGATGGCCAATTTGGGAATAGAATTCAATATAACCTTCTTATTGGTTAACCACGCTTCTCCCTGTTGATTCGCCCCAGACCTCGGGTGAACTTGGTATTAACACGAGTATTTTCGAATGTAACCGACTCTGCGGATAGAGAGACTTGCCACCATAGCCTGGGACATATCTGCATCGCCGCTTGTAGGATTGGAGCCGGGAAAATAGTTCCTAAGAATACACCTGTTCTAAAAGAGCTTTACGGGTTTGGAGCGCTTCGAATGGGAGGTAAATATGCAGGAGCGAACGACTAGGCCATTCCACAAACCCATACGACTCGGGGACGCCCTCAGTGTACTAGCAATGCCAAGTTCGCCGACTAGTGGGTTGGACCCACGGCATTCTTGGCGTCCACGTTGTGCGGTGTACCACCTCTAAGCTTGCAACTTCAAGTTGGGATTTCTGATATTATAGCGTTCAAATGTTTGTGAGCTTTACAGTGAGATCGTATGCTGGTATTTCGATAGCTAAGTGATGGAATGATTATGGGACTCAATCACTTTTGGGGGACAGGGATAAACATAGGTCCAACGAGTTCATGACCTGCCTCTGCAGAGGCCGCCTCAACCTCGCGTGTGGTGGCTCGGAGATTTTCCATAGAACAGGCTGCAATTTTCCATATGCTGCCCATAGATTTGAGAACACCTATGTTCAATGCCAAATATGAGTAATGCTTCCCAAATGGCTGCCCGGTAGGGGCAGACAAAACAGTCATCTGGATGATAGAGCTAAGGACGAGGGTGCAAGCAAAAAATGGAGAATTACCCGTCACAGACGTAGAAAGGGAAGCGAGCTTGGACAGCTCAACAGCTGCGTTAGCAACTTTGGCTGTGTGCATTTGCGGATTCAGCGAGGGTGATGGTATAGGTGGAGGCCTAGAACAAAACACCTCGCGGGTAATTGGGAGGAAGGAAGCTAATGATGATTTCGGGAAATGCAGGTAAATAGAGGCGCAATGCATGATCATAGCCGTCTGGAAATCAATTTGATTCACTTTTCCATCCATCTGGAGAATAGTGCTGCGGTCGCTAGGCCATCGGTGGAACCAAGCCGAGATCATTGAGTCTAGTACTTCCAACGTGTCTTCGGGAGCATGTGTCTCGCAGGCGATTAGGCAGTGTCGGAGAATGAATGTCGCCTCGACACGATAAGCAAGTGCTGAGATGCGATCCTTATCAGAGAATGCCCGGCGGCCTAGGTCCTTCGCAGAAATGGAGAAGACCCCAGAGTGACCGCCCGCAAACTTCTCGTCCTCAGATGGAAGAGACACGTCAGGCGTCTCCATGTTGAATTGTAAAGTGCCTCCAACTTGCACGGCAGCGAGAAGAGTGTCCACGATGAAAATCTCCCACAATGTCCGTCTCATGCTCTCGGCACGAGCGGTGCTCTGCACCTCCACGGTATCCGAGAGCTCTCGGCAGTGAAGTCCGAGTCTGAGGCTACAATCAATAGCAAAACCAATGCATTTCTTTGCGCATTCGGGGGCTTTGCGGCCATGGAATAGGATACACAAAAGAACATATGCTTGCGTTTTTTCCAACGCTAATTCAGCATTATCGGTGGCCATCCAAAGATCGTTTGAGCATTCAAGAGTTTGGCCAGCCGAAACATGATGCAATCCAATGAACTCGACGATGTTCACGAGATACTGAGGTGGTGAAGACATAACCCAGAGATCAAAGGGTAGGAGTATTGGATGCGCAGGGTAAAAGTACTCATAGAATACTTTTATCAAATGGATTCTCATTTGTGGTAAACTCTGTGGAGACTCTGTCACATAGGTTGGAGACGGGTCACCCAAAGCCATCAAGGATAGTGTGGCATCAGGGAGAAAGGAAGTTTCTTGAACACTGGGGATGTAACACGTATCGAGGCAAGGAAATCCACTCGGTTGTCCTCTCCGCCCGCGACGTGATGGAACGAAGTGACAAAAGAGGAAAAGAGCGCGACACCGGTCACATCCTTCCGGATTGCCGTCACATTTGAGATGTTTATCACGACAATTAAGACACGCAACTGATGCAGCCGCACTTGTGCTTGTCTGGTTGGGGGGGGTCCATTTGGGTGGTGGTGGTAAATGTTAGTAAAGAGAAAATGCTGACTCCATCCGAGATTCCAGGGCTAATCCATGAGTGGCAAATGTGGCTTACGGAGATGGAGACACGTGGTGAAGCTATGGCAAAGAATCATCTGAACATTTCCCAGAGATACATAATGCAAAGCCCATCACACATACATAACAAACAATGGAGTACTAAAATCTAAGGATAAAGATATTCAACTTGATTTGTATTATCATATGGGCACCATGGCCCCGGTCAGATGAGTCGGGAACCCGGGACGGCCCGGTGTACCCGGTGGGCACTTGGGCAATCTCGGATATTTATACCTAGCTACAATATATATATATATATATATATATCTTACTATATATGGGAGGGGAGGAAGACTGTAAGAGTTATAGTATAAACGTGCGTGGTCTTTTAATTTGAATAGTTCTCCAGCTTTCCTCAACTACGTGGATCAATATATGTCATGTGAATATGTAGTCGTGCACATGTAATCTGAGTGATGACAATTCGGTGGACTATTTCCTCCTCTGAGTTCCACATATTGTAACAAAGCACTACTTTTGAGCATCTTACTCAAGGGCCCGGTGGGCTACCCAGGGCAAAGCCCACCGGCCCCAGTTGCGTATGGCTTCGACAGCATCTCCGCCTCCAATGTCTCTCACAAGCCAGTTCCCTAAACTTCCATGATCATTAGAAACCAGATCTTATATAGGCCTTTTAAAATATAGCCTACTAGATACCTAATCTCTAACTATGTACAATTTTATATTATTATACTCTTTTTATGATTCCAGAATGCGTAGCGAGCTTAGAGGATTTTCGGCCTTTCTTTTCGGTTATGGTCCCAATAAAACACATCTTATCCAACATCTTATTGCTTTGAAGGCTTGTTCGTCCTGAAATCTTGAAGGCACCAACTTGATAATACATTTTAGCTAGACATAAAGAATACACAATCTAAATAAATATATCTAAACCTTTCCCCAAGATATGAGATATCTAGCATTTTCATGAAACTTTCCAGGCACCTGAACCACCGGAGCCTCTCCAATTCGGGTATGCCTGGCTGACATTGAAATGCTTGTCAATGAGTCAAGTTCGCGGCGTTTTAGTTTCCAACTCCGTAAGAGTACCAGGAATAGGAAAGCCGCTATATACATGAAGCCGGTAAATAATTGAGTGCCTAAGTATGGCTGTGACCCAGACGTGTGAAGTTCAAGCCCAATGGCTTCACCGACTGTATGCAATCGTCAGTTACATGGACGGGTTTTAAGCAAGGGATCGTGGGAAAAGTCATACAGGTTGCAGGAATAATACAGGCCAACCAAATGATAGCCAAACCTGATTGGAGGTCATCCAGACCGACCACTTCCGCACCCATGGGGCCCACCACCTAGCGATGGTTAGCATGGGACATGAGACTTAACTTTGAACTAGAAGCAGACTCACAGTCCAATAGGTGCCAAAGAAGATACCCGCAAACAAAGCAAAGACTGTAAGAGACGCATATGCTCGAGCAAATACCCATAGCAAAAGACAAAGCAAGCCGCTAATGCAAGTAGCAATGGCAGCCATATTGATGCGTCCAATTCGATCACTGAGAAGACCCACCATGGGACGACCAAACATCTGTCCAATGTTCATAACAGCCGTGACAATAGAGCCTTGCGTGGAAGTAAGACCAATACTTCTTCCGTAAGTGGCCAGCGAGAACCAGATAACCATGAATCCCATGACGCTGAAGAAGCTCCATCCGATAGCCAACCACATTTCGTAACGGAGACAAAGTCGAAAGTTGATTTTCGGCATTTTGTGCGTACCGCCCCCCGGTGGACTCCTGTACCTCCTGTCTCGGACGATAAGCACGCAAATAGTGTTGACTGCCAACTGAACAATTGCCAGGATACGATAAGACCATGGAATGCCAAATCGTGCAAGCATAGCATGCGTAGCTAGAGAGTAAATGAGTCCACCAGTCCCAGTACCACCGGTGCATATGCCTGCTGCGAGGCTGCGGTGTTTGTCAAACCATTGGGGGATCAGGTAGGTCGTTGAAAGGTACTGCATGCCCAGTCCCCAGCCAAAACAAACACCCTGGCTCAAGTATAGCTGCCAGATTTCTGTGCTCCACGACGCACCTAGCAGTGCAGCGGTTTCTAAAATGACCCCAACGGCCATTGTAATCTTTATTCCAAAACGATGATGGAGGATTGTAACTAGAGGGGAAATCACGAACGCTTGCGATGCGGAAAGTCCCCCAATGAAAGCGTAATCGAGTGCTCTGGCCCCCGCAAATGTCGAATGCGACGTAAAATAGGCTAGAAACACACCATAGCTCTGAAAATATATTAGCCTTCTTGGGTGTTTCTATTCTCAACAACTAAGTTGACCCACTGAGAGGATTCCCCAATGGTGGGCATTATTCCAGAAAACAGCGCCGACAATGACCCAGGCCTGAGGGCCATCAAGATCAGATGAGAGCATAGATAATATCCGTTGTATGTAAGAGAAATTTTCGGTTCCAGTAGTAGATCGATGTCTTTATATTGCTTTTTGGGGGAAGGGTGAACGAGGTTTAAAAGGTACCAGATGAGCCTGATCATATAAACACGAAAAGAAAAAAAGAGCCGGGATGAAGAATGTCGCCGAGGAATTACAGTAAATATCGATGATTTGAAACACCCATGATATCCACTATTAACGCGGTGGGATTGGGTGGGATGAATTGTGGGATAGTGGGATGATGACTGAGAAAGATGAGTGTATGTTATTTCAAAAGCTTTGTTGATATAAACATTTTATCTTGATGTCTCACGTTGCTCTCCACTGTTAATTTATCATCAGGGCTGTTGCTTATGAAGATATTCCCACATCTTTGACGGTTTGTAATGTCCTCCATGGTGGGATCAAGAACGGGTCCAGGAATGGCAAACTATATAAGTCTCCAAATGAACTGCTGTTCTACATTTGGTTATTCATTGTATCAATTCAATCTCTCCGAGTAAAAAACCTTCCCATCAATCAAACGGCACTATGTCCACGTTCAAAGGCAATGTTTCCATCACCCACATCACGACCGCCACGGCGATAATCAACATTGACGGTGTGCGGTTCCTCACCGATCCTGTATTCTGTCCTGCGGGCTCTGAATACGTCTACGACGGCTGGTCCAAGGCCCCCAACCTTGAGGAGTTCGGCTTCAAGGAGGCTCCAACAGCGACTCTGCGCAGCTTCGAAGGGCCAGCCCTCGAATTGCGCGACATCCCACCCATCGATGCGGTCTTACTGAGCCACGAAGACCACGTCGACAATCTCGATCCTCTCGGCCGCCAGTTACTCGACGGCCGCCATGTCTTCACCACACCTGATGGCGAGCACAATCTCAAGCCACGCCCTGGCGTCGTCGGCCTTCGCCCTTGGCAAACCGTCTCCGCAAGACTCGGAGGCAAAGACTTCCGCATTACCGGCACCCCATGCAAGCATTTCCCAGGTGGCGAGGTGACGGGTTTCATTGTCGAGTGCGACACCTTCGGCGTTAATGAGGCCGGTCTGCCCAATGTGGTGTACTTCTCTGGAGATACCGTGTGGATCGATGAGTTGGCGCAGATCAAGGACAAGTGGCATGTTTCCGTTGCAGTCTTGAATCTGGGAAATGCGCTTTTCCCGCATCCTAACGGTGTTTTGCAAATTACCTTCGATGGTAAGCAAGCTGCTCACTTGATGCGCGTGCTAAATGTCGACCGAATGGTTCCTATCCACTTTGAATCATGGGAACATTTCACTGAGCATCAAGCGGATTTGGCGACGGTCTTTGACGATGAAAAGGTGTCGCATAAGGTTCACTGGCTTACTCCTGGCGAGGAAACCCCGGTAGTGGTGGGTTGAGTGTGACTGACGGTGGATGTTATCTGTGGCATCAAGTATGATCAACCACAGATTTTTTAAAAAAGAAGATTAGGAAAAGTCCATTATGTTCTTGGTGCCTTTATTTGGTAGCCTCAGGCCTACGGCCCACTACGGAGATAAAACCTGTAGTAGATAGTTCGCACCTTGCTTCTTTTCTCTCCGCTCCATAGCGAATGAACACGGTCGTTTTCTCTACAGAGATCGCTCATTGTCCAGCAATCCCTTTCTGTGTAGAACCACGGATTCCAAACCCCAGTCGAACGGGGATACCTCGACTTATTTGAAGCAGGTTTCATTACCTTGCTTCAACCCCTTCAACAACCCTAGTACGAGACCGAATGGTAGTCACTATGGATGGTAGGATCATCCGTTAAAGAGGTCTCAATCGGAACACGCGGTAGGTATGTTGGGCGCTTGGCACGGTTATCTGAAGAATCAGAGAGCAGTCTTGAAGTACGGGCCAATTTATACCTATGTTGTAGGGACCTTCTAGAAAGCCTTGAATGTGGGCCTTTCTGAGCTTAGAAGCAACTTATTGGACAGGAGCATTCTTTGATTTACAATTATAGAACATTGGAAGAACTATGTTATTCTGGTGGCGAATAGTTTGATGATGAGCATTGCACTCGCACTCGGAAATGAGTACGCGTCTAGAGGTGATCTCGAATACCTAGATAGATAGTAGGAGCCCCTTCTACTTTATATGGATAGTTATATAAGGTGAAGAGGAAAATATTAGCGACGTATTGCCAAGCCCAATATGGCAAGCCTCACCGCAAAAAGAAACGCACTAGTTAGTCCTCTTTTTACAGCACAGAGTAGAGAAAGACCCTTGGGCATGGAATCCCCCCTTTTAACGCTGTGAAGCAACGCCAAGACTACCACTCGAGCTTAAAATGCTATCGAAATGACCGGCATATTTTGTATTATGTAAGCAGTTGTTTTGTGCAATCACATTGTATTAGTTAGTTAGTTGTGCCCCAGGGGATTCGTAAGTGCTGACATGGCTTTTTAATCTGATACACTGGACACATATGTAAAAGAAGTATGATAGGAGTACCTACCTAGGTAGGTTCCCCTTGGAGGCTTGTATAAGCAACCCTGACAAGACGCGTGCCCTTATTAGTACGTAACTATTTGGACCGTAGTAAATGCCATGGCTATGGGCCTGGACAGAAGTGGATGATTCTCCACAGTTCAGATACCTTCAGTATTGTACGTCGATGTATAACTACAAAGTACGTGTACTCCGTAACTATTCCGTACCATAGATTGATTGATGTACTCCGCATATTGTAACTGAAACTGAGAATAGGCTCCGGAAAAACTTCTGTTAAATTCATGCATATATACATCATATAATATATAACCATAGAATGATGAAACAAGACCAAAACAGAAACTACCGAGACCGATTTAAATTACCATTTTAAATGTTGTCGATCCCGGCCCACCTGGCTGTGAGGAAATCCATGGGCGAGGAGATGTTATCGCCACTCAAAATACGTGACCCGATAAGCTTCATTTCAGGGTCTCTCCTTTTTTTACTAAAGTACTTCTCCACAGGAACTCCTCGTCTGATGTAAAGATATTGGGGCAAATTGCGGAGCATCCTCGAGTCATAAGAATGTCTCATAATATGTACTCTGTTGGTTAGTTGAATATCCACCTATATATGTATATACATATGTATATATATATATATATATATATATTACATATTACACATAGAATACGGAGTACGTATGAATATCGGCATTACATGTGGTAGGACGTCGTCAATAAGGACGCGTGTCTGTGGGGGGGAGGGTTGGCCGCATTTGCCCCTCCGGTTAATTCTGATTGGTTGACGCGGCTGGATGCCAGGGCGATCGTCTTTGATCATTTCCGCTCTTCTTGGTCTTTGGTCTCTAATAGTATACTCCGTCCTCCGTACAATTGTTGTACACCTGTCCTTTCCCGTTATTTGATACTGGCTATTCCGTACTCTGTATACTCCGTGTTCTATCTAGGGTCAAGGTCAAGGTGGTTCATAGTGATTCGTACAACTTTTTATCCAAACCCTTTCCAAGGTCCCGCACTTTCCTTGAATGGCCCAAGCGCTAAGTTGATAACAGTGACGTGATCTCCAGTTGCATGTACGTTATTATATTCACATCATGATGGGATCTCGGGATGGGAACGGATGTTGTTAGTTCGCTTATATTGTCCGAGATTGTTAAATGATTGAGGCTCAGACAGGTTGCAGCGCAATACGCCGATTCGGATACATAACGTATCTAAACATAGTAATATCTATATGCAGAAACAAGTTTGGAGTACTCATTGGTTATTCCGTACAACATACAGATAGAGACGCGAGGGAGAGAGGGCAACCGGAGTTATTAGTAGACTGATTTTCTGGCCTATCATACAATTCATGTATGCAGATGTCCCAAACAGCTGATCGGCATTTTCACGCGAGCCTGCATCCAAAAGATGTGTCGCTGCAAACGGTCTTCTCGACCTTGAAGATACTTGAAATATGCTTAATTTAGAGTCCCAAGGGCCAGATGACCATTTCCGACTTGAACAACCACACCTGTGCCCAGGTTAAACAAAAACATTATTGTTGTGCTCGAGACAAGGAAACGGAAAAAAAAAAAAGAACACCAATGCCGATCATCAGTTTCATGGCGGAGTATTCCACTAAATCTGAGAGGGGATGATCACCCCCAGCCAACAAACAGCATTCCTTTTCTCGTCATGATCAACACTTAAAAATCAACAGGTAAGACGAAGCAAAAGGAAACAAAATATAAAGCCACATATCATTTGAGATGATCCTGTCGAAGACCTCCGTTCCTGCATCCCAATTTGGTTGGCATCAACACCGCAACCGGGGGATGAATACCAATATGCAATATGTATCCAGCTACAATATGTTCTGATATCACCGAAGACAGCATACTAAATGAAAAACGGTGGTGCGAACGTCAGATATGCATATACTCCGTACCATCGATGTAGAAAACAGGTAGAAAAAAAGAAGTAAAAGAAGTAAAAAAAAAAGAAAAGAAAAGAGCTAAATATATATTACGGTAATACCCATACACGGCCAACCCTGTTAATTGCTTCGGCGGCCTCCCTTTTTCTTTCCTCCTGCAACACCTTCACGACACAATCCTCCAAGCTCTCATCGACTTTTCACTCGGACTGGGCACATCGTCCAGCCGCGTTAGTCTTCTCTCTATATTCACTTCCAATCCTCATATCTTTCCCCTTGACAAACGCTCCCCCCTTCGAACCGTGTCGCAGGTCCCGACGCTGCCAGCCTCTCGTTGAAATATCTCTCGGCACTTTATTTGCCTGCCACTCTTTAATCCACTCTTGGAACACTCGTTTATTTGACTCTTCCCTCAAGTCGGAATTGGGTCTTGCTACCGGCTTTTGCTGCACGCTATTTCCGGGAAACGACACCTCACACGCCAAACCCATAACTTTTTATTCCCGGGTGTTCACCCCGATTTCGCCTCGCCTTCTACTATTTACATGTTTGAAAAGTCGTCATTCAACACTGGGAAAGCCAAAATGCCTCTATTTCGGATCAAGACGATATTCCCGCTGGTCGCTCTCGTGACCATCGGAATATTCTTCTTTTGCATGGAACGCTACGACCGCTCAGCTTTCCTTCGGTTCAAGCACCCAATTGATCGGGCCTCCTTTGGTGGAAATAAACAACCTCAAGTACAAACGCCGGCACAATCTGATTCGCAGCAGCCCACTAGTAGTTCCTGTGAAGCTGACCCGAAATTGGCCGCCCCCCTACCCTTCCCTGAATGGCTCCCACGCAAGAACTACACTCGCGCCTATTTCCGTCCTCGTCATGTGAACCCCCGCACCGAATTCCATACTTTGGAGGAAATCGAAAAGCCTGTGCTCCCGCCCATGGTTGTCATGGAGCGTGGTATGGTCGTATCTCCCGAGAACAAACCTGAAAACTTTGTCTGTCCTGAGATTATCGACGTCGATGTGGCCGCCGATGACGATGTCGAGGAGACCTCCAAGCTTCTGTTTGGTCTAGCCACTACCGTCGACCGTCTGGACCGTCTGCTCCCCTCCCTGCTTTACTCCTATGGGAATACCAAGGCCGGTTTGATTGTTCTCGTCCCTGAGTCTGACGACGACCTGGAGAAGCAAGAGACCTACTTCCGCAACCGCGGTCTGGACTTGACTCTCAAGGCCTCTCCCCTCGACTTCACTGCCCGTTACTTCGGTATGGTCGAGGCATTCACCGAGCACATTCGCAAGCACCGCCCGCACACCACCTGGGTTGGATTTAGTGACGACGATACCTTCTTCCTGTCACTCCCCACTATCGCCGAGGAACTGAAGCTCTTCGATGAGAACAAGAAGCACTACATTGGATCTTTGTCCGAGGCCAGCTGGCAGGTGGATACTTTCGGCCACATTGCTTTCGGTGGAGCCGGTGTGTTTGTCTCAAAGCCTCTTTTGGATGTCCTGATGAACCACTACGACGAGTGCCAGTCCTGGGGCGAACAGCCCGGTGACCAGAAGCTTGGCCAGTGTATCCAACGCTTCGGTGACACCCCCTGACTCTGTGGCCTTCGCTCTACCAGATGGACATGGCAGACCCCGTGGACGGTGTTTACGAGTCCGGTCGCAAGATCGAATCAATGCACCACTGGAACAGTTGGTACAGCAAGGACGTGGTCAAGATGACCACTGTTTCTGCCGCCGCAGGCCGCAAGTCTGTTCTCCGTCGCTGGGTCTTTGATCAAGAGGAGACTGTGAACACCGCTACTGGCGAGACTCTCCGTCATTTCTGGGTCATGACGAACGGCTACTCCCTGGTGAAGTACACATACGGCGAGCATGTGCCGGATGATGCTATCAACTTCGATGCTACCGAAAAGACCTGGCCCGAAGACCCCCGCGGCTATGAAGACCGCCTGGGTCCCCTGCGTCCCGCAGAGGAAGACGGTGTTGCTAAGGATCGGTGGTTGCTCCGCGATGCATTTGTGGTTGGTGAGAACGTGCACCAATTCTATGTTCGCGAAGAAGATGAGGGCCACAGCGTAATTGAAATTGTCTGGCTCGGTCCCAAGGGCGGCGGTGGCGGTGGTGTGAGTGACCATTATCTTCGCGGCACTTACCAGCAATAAAAATTGCACCGCTACTACTTGAGGCTGGTCCTTGGGACTGTTGTTCGTACCTCTTCACTTCGTTGCACATGATTCAGCTCTTTTTTTTTTTCTAAAATACTACACATCTTCCCTTTGCCCTTTTTTTTTCCGACTTCACGACACCAGCCCCATATGATTACAAGTCGACCAACCCAACAGCCCTTTTTTTTTTCCGGATGAGACTCGTGATCGTGACTTGCCCTCCGCGTCCTCCAGTTTCTGTTTTCATTTATCCGGCGTTGCATTGGCGGAGTCCAGTACAATTCAGGAACCTGGTGGCTTTGCGTGCTCCCTCTATATCCTGAACCCTGACTGACGGTGTATTCCAATTTTTGAAATGTTCAGTGGCTTTTTTTTTACCGTCTTCTTCCAGTCCTTGGACCCATGCGGGGCCTTGGCCGAGACTTGCCAGACCTAATCGGTTTGGCCTTGCTCTTCTTATCTTTCCTGATTTCTTTTCTTTTTTTTTTTTTCTCCATGTCTTCCGCGTTCTTAAGTGCGCTTTGGAGAAAAGCCACTTTCCGTGCCTTACGCCTTGCATCCTTTCTGTAAAAATAGACTTGACAGCAGACCCATTTTGGGGTCTCCGTTGGTGATTAGCGTTAAACTTTTGTTCGTTATGTGAAGAATATGATCAGTTTTCGTCAATTCAGTGTTGCATAGGGTATTCTTTGGCTATTCCATATGCAGGAAGGGATCCTAAATGGGCTGCTGCATCGGGTCTAGGGCTAATCGGATCGGCCCGTTGATCGGCTTTGGTTATTGTTGCTCTGTGGGCTCAGTGGGATGCATTATTTTCCTTCTACGGTCTACGGCGGTCGATTTTTACACTCGAGCTCCCGATGTAATCAAGGGACTCAAGGAACCCCTATCACCATTTAAGAAGGCTGCCACCTAGGTGTGAGGGGCAATGAATGTTGTGACTTGACGCTTGGAGCAACATCAACCCAGATGAACTATGAGCAGAAAAGATAGGATTTACTTGGTAAATGTGGGAGTAATAATAGGAGTAATAATAGAAGAAGTAGGGAACAAGCCCTGACTTACTACAGACCTACTGACCCAGTCACCCAGATTCCTGTGAACCCTAGTAAATATATGGAGTACGGCTGTGAGACACCAAGATATGTCTAGATGCTCTACGAGTTCCATGCAAGGTATGCATGTGTGTGTGTGTGTGTGTGTGTGTGTGTGTGTGTGTGTGTGTGTGTGTGTGTGTGTGTGTGCGGAGTAAGGGGATGTGAGATACCTAGGGGTTATTGTGTCGAGACGGTGGGCTTCCTTGTTCATACTTTGCTTTGCTTTGCGATAATGAATGTGAGATTTGGTTCTTGTGGTTGCAATCAGAAAGGAATGGGAATGGCTATATAAGAAAGATAAGGGATAACTAGATAGCCTTTGGGGCTATTTACAAGATACCCTTGAATGAATGCAGCCATGCAAGTATGTTGTATACAGGGCCATTATTCCGTGCCACAAAGCAGGTGCGACCCGCGCCTGTGTGATAATGTGAGCTCGGTTTTATTCTTATTTTTATATTCGACTTTGTAGATGTAGTAACCTTGAAATATAGGATGTTTCTATGAGATATATATATATAGGGAGATAGAAAATAAGGGATGCTCATGGGCATGTTTATAGATGGGATAGCCAATCATATAATGGCGGACCTTTGAGAAGTTCTGCCCCGTCGAGGCATGTGAGATAGAATGGAGTGTTAAGTGTACAAAGGTATATTATATATAGTTATATATATTTTTTCCGTACTTTTTTCTTCGAATTAAAATCCAAAAGAGAAATAACAAAATAACCCCCCAAAATCGGGAAGACGGAGAAATTGGCCCTGGAATCGGCAACAAAGGAAAAAGAGTCCAGACCTGAGGGGAAAAGGGCAAAAAAGGGCAAACGGGGGGCCGAAGGTGGAACCAGCCAATGAGCGATCGAAGCCAAGAATCGTGTCTGTTCCAAAGGAGGCGAATACAACTCAATTACAAGTCAATACTATTGTAAAAGTAAAAGTACTTTAGTCAAATATTAATTTTACTAGTATCTGAAGTACCCTAACTTATTCTAAGCTTACAGACTGTACTAATACCACTTATACACGTGATTCACGTAACAGACCGCCTGCCCATCGCAACTCGCACTTTGCCTTCTTCGCTCTCCCCCCCCATCGATTCCCCCATTCCCTTTCTTTCACATCCATAAACGCGTTACTCGATTGGGTCATCTCTTGCCTTCCCCTTTCGGTATCCCCCCTCAAATCATAACTATCAACCCCCCCCATATTAAACCCTCTTTTGTTGTTCTTAATTGTCAATATGTCTGCGGTTCTTGACGAAAAGCTTTCCCCCGGTCACGATGACCTTCCCGGCAACGGCGCCGATGCCCGTGGCACCAAGCGCAACCGCATGAGCGCCGACGACGAAGATGATGATGATGACAAGCCCGGCCGTGAGCGTCGCAAGATCGAGATCAAGTTTATTCAGGATAAGTCGCGTCGGCATATTACTTTCTCCAAGCGGAAGGCCGGTATTATGAAGAAGGTGCGTCGCGTCCCGAGGCCCCCCCTCCGCATCAGTTTCCCGATCGAGGGTTCTTCCTCCATCATTTGATCGATTGACACTTTTACTAACCATAACGGCTCTCTATAGGCTTATGAACTCTCTGTCTTGACTGGCACTCAAGTTCTCCTGCTGGTTGTCTCCGAAACCGGCCTTGTCTACACCTTCACTACTCCCAAACTCCAGCCGCTGGTCACCAAGGCCGAGGGCAAGAACCTGATCCAGGTAAGCTACGGTCTGCTTTGATAATACTCTTTCGTTCAACCACTAACACACTGACAGGCATGCCTGAACGCTCCCGACCCAGCCGCCAGTGAGAATGGTGTCGACGCCCCCGATGTCGCCCCCGAGGCCCCCGAAGATGTGGCTCACAACGTCAACGCGCCCCAGGGGAATATGCGTCCCGGTATTCACCCTGGCTACATGACCAACGAGCAGCAGCAGCAGATGGCGTACTACCAGAACCTCCAGCAGCAGCAACAGCAGGCTGGTGGTCAGTACCCCATGCCGGTCGGCGGTCGCATGCCACCCCAGCACCAACCCACTGCTTAACCGCCTTAAATTATGATCTGATCTGTGGGGGTCCTTCTTGCTCAAGGTCCCCGATGCTGCGTCTTCTTCTCTGTTCTTTCCTCCCTGCGCCTCGATCTCGCGTTCATTTGATACCCGTCTCCCTCTGCCAATCCATCATCCCACTCTTCCCTCGGAAATGGTCGCGCGCTGTATCTGCATGTGCCATTCTCCAGGGCACTCTTGTGAGACTATTTGTAAATTGTCAAGCACCGCGCTGGAATCCCATTCCAGTCTCTCTTTGATGATACTGGATCTGGTTTTTTTTCCTTTTGATATTGCTTTCTATCTCGGAAAAAAGGAGAAGCCCAATTTGCTGAGAACTATGGCTTTCCAATAACCTCCCAAAAAAAACTTACCTGAAAAAAAAAATGACCGTCACAAAAAAGAAACCAACTTCAAGAAAAGAGAAAGAGAGCGCAAGCAGACAAATCTGGGCTTCGTCGCTAATTTGGCTTTTGTTTTCCCCCCTCTACCTAGACAATGGCGGAGGATGGAGGTGTTCGCGGTGCATTGAAACTCGTCGGCGAAGTGGCTTTTCCTCTCTTGTCTTTTTTTTTTTTTTTTTTTGCTTTTTTAGTCTTTTAACTATTTCCTTGGTCACTGATTATGTTATTTTCCTCATTGTCTAATCTCAAACTGTGTGTTAATTGTTTCTGTTGATTCCATGCTGTGGGTGTCTGTCTTGGTTATGACGGATTCTCAATGCCATTTGGTTCGCACTTTGCACCACTATGGCTCGGGCTGGGTTACATTATATTATGTATGGTATGGAGCAATCGGATACTGTTCCTTTGGACTGTCTTGTTGCTTGTAGTCGTGATGGTCTATGAGTAGACTTGGGTTCTGATCTATCTCACCATGTACTTAAGTAGTGCGTGAGGTACAGCGTAAGGGGACGGCAAATCCACTAACAAGAAGGTATATTCTCGCTTTCTATGTATTTATTAAGCTATGTTGTCTCGAAGCACGTTTCTCTAGGCGTTCGAGAGAATTCAAAGTCCAGCTCGAACAATCTGGAAATGTTAGGGTTACTATAATCTATCAGATATACATTCCCAACTCTCCACGTATATTATTTATATATTCTACATGACTACTAGTACTTTATTCTAGATGCGGCCCAATTTACTTACAAACTGGAGAGATGTGTACCTCAGCATGCATGGAGAGAGTGTGATAAAGCTCGCTGACCTGCATCTCAGAGGTCAATGCCACACTAAACGGACCTTTGACAGAGAGACTTTTGTATAATTACCATAACGGAGTATATAACACAGGTGCTAGGTAGGTAGGTGGGTAATTGATATTTCCCATGGTGTGTAGTTGAGAATATATATATAGAGCGCGAGTACATTATATCAAGGTCTTGTATTCATTCGTGCGGAGTTATACACTCGCTCGAGTGGTATCATATCATATTATCTTGACAGTGGATCACAGGACACAAAAGAGAGATTGGGATTGGCCGTTTCTCGACCGGGAGCTAGGAGCGACGGAAGCAACAGGAGTGGATTGCGCGTGGTATGTCCAAGGAAGAGGGACTACTGTACATGGGCATTGACAGGGCGAGAAAGAAAGAAAAATCTTGGGTGGTAGTGTCCTTCCGGTAGGAAATTAACAGATCCGAGCAAATGTAGGTGTTATGTGAAGGTCGTTCGGAAAAGAGTATAGGAAAGAGCATAACGTAAAAAGGTGTCATGGGGATGATGATGGCTGAGGGGCGTCAGACTCAGGAACCGGGATTCCCTGTGTATAACGCGTTTGTGGAAGGCGGCACGTTAAGAGTGCGGGAGTAGGGGCGAGGAAGAGCCATCTTCTGGGTCAATCTCAACTTGACTGCCCGCCTGCGGGCTGCTCCATCGAGAGAGATAATGTCTTCCAAACATCCAGGCATCTGCCAGAGCCTTCCTTGAGCCCAAAAGAAGACCAGACCTGGTGCCAGACGAATGAAGGGCGGAGACTTCGTCCTGCCAGTGGTTATCATCGCCATCCTCTTGGATGGTTCCGTATCCACCGACTTCTTGGTTAGACGACGATGTAAAGAGACCTCCGATCGCCGGACGCTTACGATGGGCAGCGGATAACGTACTCTGGGCTGCTGAAGTGCGACGCCATGGGTTCTCACGCAGTGATCCCTGGACTCGACGAGATCCCCTTTCGCGATTGTGTGTGATGGCGCTGATCGTGGAGTGTCGTGTCAGACCCCGCAAGGGGCCGTTTATAGTTGCGCTGCTACTGACGCTCCGTGGGCGATCTGCCGATGATCGTCCGTGTCCATCAGTGGACTCATAGTCCGACTCATCGAGTTCAGCCCAAATAGATGCGGGGTTCAGATCGGCAGAGTCACTATCAAAAGGTAAATCGAGTGGTAGACTTGGAGCTCTTCCCCGCTGATATGAAAAATATCGAGTATGGGTCTTCGGGTTGAGAAGTGGTTCGCATTCTCCAATCTGTGATTCCTCATCCTGGCCGTCCAGCAACCCAGATGATGTCGGAGATTGCTCCTCCACGATTGCCATACCCGGCCCAAGTCCAGTCTGGGTAGAACCCACAGTGGTGACAGCGGCATGAGCGTCGATATCCTCAAGTCGCCATGACAGGCACAAAACACCACCCAGGAGAACAATTGTTCCTAGAGCGATTAGACCCGCGTGGAAGCCCGCCAGCTGAGATACTTGCCGGAAGTAAATCAGGCCATCCATGATGGCAATGATATTGTATATGCAGAACACAAAAGGATATAGCACACTAGTACTACACAGCTTGAGCCCACGATGAAGGTAGAACAACTGTGTGAGCGCTAGGAAGATCATCCCTAGTAGGATAACCCATGATTGCCAATGATTGAACTGGTTCACCCGGTCCACCACTGTGCGCACGAGAAGCTCCACTGCCGACTTTGCTAGTAAAAGGGAGTGAGCTGACAGAATCCCGCTGACAAACCCATAACTCATGCCCCGGATTAACCTCATTCGGCTTTGCAGTCGTAGCAAATGCGGCGAAAAGTGACCCGAGGCCGAGGGTTTCACGCGCGAGGATGGCACGAAGTGTTCCAGCATTTTGATGCCTACAAGTACCACAACAACCAGCAGGGTGGTGGCACCCATCCACATAAGAAAGGGTCGTCGCTGGAGGAGGTCCAGGAGTTGATCTAATGTATGTGCGGGTTCCCCGATGGCGCCGAAGGTCGCAATCAGCACCGCGCCGACGCAGACGAGAACGGTGCCTGCGAGGGAATATCGGGTAAAGGGTTCACCGAGGATGAGGGTCGCAAATATAGTATTGAACACTAGCCCGGACTATTCGGCATTCTTATCAGCAACTGATCTCCGCCGTGCATGGAGGGGGATCTACTGACCGCTTGGAGCGTTGAGAGAACTGGTAGCGGAAGTGTGGTAATTTGAATGGTACTTCCAACAATATTGGAAATCACAAACATCCCCATACCTACTTGCCATCGTCGGCGCTTGTAGGGGGGTCTGCGCACATCGTAGGGGTGTTTCTCGTCCTCGAGTAAATGCGATTTGCGCTGAAGTGTCAGCCCGATAGCCTGGAGGCTAGTTGAGATCAGGCCAACGATGACACCAACCTGATGTCTGGATTAGTTTTTGATCTTGTCTTGCGGTATACTGTGATTTCCATGATCTTACCGCAACACTTCCCTCCGGCGATAAGTCACCTAGATTGCCCATATTGTGTATCGCGCATTGGTCGGGTCGAAGGATAGTTGGGAGAGGCGCATCAAGTAGAAGAAACTACCGGAGTAAAGAAGCCATAACTCAGATCAAACTATAGGGAATGACAGGATCACGCTGAAATGGTAAGTTGTCGAGGGGAGTGCGGAGGACCTGGATGCGGAACGCCAAGGCAACGCAATCCGAGCTTAGTTGGACACAACATCCTTTCCCTCTTCTCCACGTCATTCCACCCCCAACAAGCTATACAACACTGAACCGTCAAAATGTCACAAAGCCATGCTCTTTCAGATGATCAGGTATGTTCGCCGTTTACTCTAGGTCTTGGGAAGGTTGAGTTGGACTAATGGCCGTCGAATCCAGGTCGCGGGCGAGCTCCGCAAGATGACCGCCTTCATCAAGCAGGAAGCTCTTGAGAAGGCCCGGGAGATCCAGTTAAAGGCCGACGAAGAATTTGCGATCGAAAAGTCCAAGCTAGTGCGCCAGGAAACTGCAGCTATCGATACCCTCTACGAGAAGAAGTTCAAGCAGGCCGCCATGTCCCAACAGATCACCCGTTCCACACTCGCCAACAAGACCCGACTCCGCGTACTCGGTGGCCGTCAGGAGCTGCTCGATGAGCTGTTCGAGAACGCCCGGGAGAAAGTTTCCAAGGTGGCTGCCGACGATGAGAAGAAGTACCAGGCCATGCTCAAGGGGCTGGTCCTCGAGGGCCTGTATTATCTGAACGAGGATAACGTTGCAGTTCGCTCGCGGAAGAAGGACTTTGATATTACCAAGAAGGCTATTGAGGAGGCGACCGAGGAGTACAAGGACAATGTTGGCTCAGAGGTGACCGTGACCTTGGACGAGTCGGAGCCGTTGCCAGAGGGATCGTGAGTTGATTCGCTCCCCCTCCCAATATACGTCAAGGAGACTAACTAGATTGCAGTGCTGGTGGTGTGTTTATTGTCGGTGGGCAAGGCAAGATCGAGATCAATAATACCTTTGAGGAGCGTCTGCGCCTGCTGGAAATTGATGCTCTCCCTGCAGTTCGAGAGACGCTCTTCGGCAAGAACCAGAACCGGAAATTCTACGACTAAGTGTGTATTACTTGTTCTATCTTGGGTTTCACGTTTGCGACTGCGGTATTTCGTGTGTTATAGTTCGGGTAATCTTTGCCTCTCTTGGCCATCTTCATAGACAGAGGGGGTTTCTTTGCACATTTCAACTCTGATCTGGAATATGATCGAACTCTTTTAGCGATCATATTCATTCCATGTTCTTGAATCTTGACTATTGTATTCTGTAAAAAGAAAAAAAAAAAAAAAAACGCTCCGTGGAAGAATGTCGCTCTGGAGGCATGTTCATAAGGGTCGTAAGTCATAGGGTGGTTGGCGGTAGAGGGAAAAGCTGGGTATTTCAACATTTCGACCCATTCGTACAGTACTTCTGTTTCTTCACATAAATGGTGATCTCAGGGCTGAAAGTGCTAATGTGGTCAGGATACCTGATCATGGACGCGGATGGGAATATCTGTGTCACCATCCGCGTCGCCTGGCGCCGCAGACGGATTCTTTTCTTGCCTGGTCTCGGGATTTTGCTTTCCAGCAGCAAGCGCAGCGAAGTTGCTGAAATGGCTCCGAATGTTACCATCTCTCTCCTTGACATGTGACTCGAAAATGGTGGTTTTTGGTGGTGGCTTGGACCGAACTGAATAGACAATCCGGTAATGCAAGGCCTCGAGTTCACTTTTTGCCACCGTCCGTGTCACATGTGAGGCACCGGAATCCTGAATAGAACAGAAGATCATCTTGATTTGAGCTGCCAGTCTGTCAATGGCAACGTCGTAGTCTTTCTCGGCTTGAGTACTGTTGAAATTTAACACCAACGCAGACGAATCAATCGCGACATTGAGAAGACAAGTGAGCGAAGTTAATTCCCTCCAGTCATAGTCGGCTATACCCTTGAATCGTTTGACTTGGAAACGCTCGTCACGGAGCAGTAGCAGTGTGATGCGTTTGATATCAAGCAACTTTTCAGGGGGTTCGGTGAGAGGACTAGGACTCTGTAGCAGAAACGCAACGGCCAGGCGACATCGTATCAGTGCAAACCATGGAGAGGTGGGCAAGATATGGTGCACAATTTGACTCTGGATGCAAACATCGTGTATTGTGGTGTAAAAAGTGGCGCAGACTCGTCGCAACTGGTATCGTTAGCTTCGAACGTGGAAAACGTATACAAGAATACTCACCGAATCTTCACCACTGGTTTCATGGAAATTCTCAGGATGCAACACAGCGTTGATAGTCCACTGAATCTCTGAAGATACCATAGCATCTGCTGTTAATGAAATATCAAGAGTAAGACGTAGCAGCATGAGCACCACCTGCTCTTGAGTGTCTTCTGCCAATCTACAAATTTGTAAGCCCGACATTGTCAAAATTTGGGGAGTGGAAGCTTACAAGCCAGCAGTTTCCCTAAGTAATCTCAGGACTGAAACAAAGGTAACATGGTCTTTCAAAGCAGAGTCCGGAGTAATGTCTGACAGCGTTTGTTAGCAAAACACGAAGCCAAAGCAAGACGGTCAAATCATACATTGGGAAGGAACTGGGATAATCTCCTTTGAAGGATCCAAAGCCTGGCTCCGAGCACCCAATCGTGAGAAAAGGTCATTGATATCAGCTGGACGGATGAGCAACTTTAGGCGCTCCACATCCATATTCTTATATATTCAGTTAGTAAATAACAAGGGAAGTTCGATATAAGAGCATTTACAAACCTTAATGATTCGGTAATAAGCATTGCTCAATTCCTCTCGACGTTCATAGGGTACTGAAGGTAAGTCAGCTTCGTGTCAACGAGCGAAGGATACTATAAGACAAACTGGAACGAAACATCCACAAAACGAGTTCGTCCGGCAAAAGCCCTTTGGACAAAGCCATCTGAATAAATTCGCCTGAGATGAATTGGCGCTCGCGGGTGTCGGATTCTGCAAATCGGTCAGCACGAATAAAATGGAACAATGAGTTATTTGAAGCTTACCCCTTAATATATCCATACTCGTCCCAGGTGCGAACAGCTCCTGTGGAAATTGGGGGCCGGCGGCAATGTTTGTGTGCAATCAAAAAATGGCCAGGCACGGCCGTGGTCCAGAGCATCAGTTCTTCTAATAGCACCTATTAAACGTTGACCCCCAACACCGTCTTCATTCTGCCCAAGCGCCGAGATCAACATCGTTTCATTCAGAGCGGTACCGTACGGCTTGTTTCCGGTTTCTTTGCCGTCCGGTTGCTTCTGCACATAATTGGCTCTCGCCCGAGCGACGCTGGCTTCGACCTCGTTATCATCCACTGCGTCGTGAACGAGAGAGTCAATGCAGTTTCTGTATTTCTTTGGCGATGATACCTTGGTGAATTTGGCCGGTGTGAACTCGTGCTTCTTGGAGTGTGGAGCGAAAAGACTCTTTGGGTCCTCCAATGAGCATATCGAGTCCGTGTCTTCTCCATCAGAGCTAATGACTACCTCTCTGCCATCCTTCATGATGCGCTGAGATTCGTTGAGGCTTTCGTTCAAAGACGAGAGCTCGGTGGCCGAGTCGATGCTTTGGAAACTTTGATGCAACGTGGGGGGTTGAAGGAGGGTATTCTGAGTATCCTGGGTTGATAGATACAGTGCCGCATTCAAGTGGGCTTCGGCATCTTGTTCAGATTCTGGTGATATCTGGTCGAATACAAAGGAAGAGGGGGTTCGGTGAGGGGTGAAGATTCGGTTGCGAGTTCAGCGCTTTCATTCTTCTCAAGTGCTTTGTTTGAATTGACACTAGTGAATGCGGGCCTATTAAACCATAGATCCTTTATTGTCCGCATGATGGGGTATGCCGAGGATTTTTCATAAAAGGAAAGACATATCGCGTCGCCGAACGCGCCAATTCGGCGCGATGTCACATGAGCTTTGCTGACTCATCTGTATTTTCTTTGTTCTCCCAGGAAGGTTGCCTCAGGTGGAACCTGGATGGGGCAATGACCTTCGAACGCTAACAGTCCAATCAAACGTTCTTTGAGGCCAGAACTTATAGATCAAATTTTATAAAATAGATTGAATTGATACAACATATGTACTTTTGTACATTGGGAGTACAACATACATACTTGGTCCTACCTAGTTATAACATATTTATCTACAAAATATGTTAGTTATAACTATCTTATATTGTATCCTGTAGATCTGACAGCCACATTCCTGGTGGCGTCGATCTGGGGCTGATCCTACTAGTACTAGTATTTACCTATTACTTTTATTAATCCGTTCTTCGTACTCCAGTTCATCCATGGATATTCGGTACTCCGTACTAATTGTCGAAGAACAAATCTCATCTAATCAACGTCAATCTTGAGATGGAAGTTGCCGATTCTTTGCGATATTTTCATTTTTATCAGGGCCCACTAGTATGGTTCGTGGTCGCGTCGACGACATCTAAAATTGAATGTTCTACTCCGTACAATATTATTTATTGTATCAACACACTATTCGAAGGTTGCACTGTATACAGCAGAGTACTACAGGTACATTTTTTTGCTTTACACCCTTGCCTTGAGATCTGTACCTTAAACTTTGTGAGTAACACACCTGGGTATTTTGTTAGGCTACTCCGTAGAAAGGGGGAACGAGTTCCGGGCAACCCGCAAACCCTACTCCATACGAGGATGGTGATCATCGGGCCTATTCAGGAGTATTCTCCTGAAGCCAAGAGATTCCTTTTTACTTTTTTTCTTTTTCTGCCAAGAAACAAGGAGCCAGGATGCATACAACATACTGTTGTAGCATAAAAGATTAAAAAATATTTATACACGCGACATTAAAAATAAAAACGGGTCCAATGAGATTTTGACCCATATGGATATGAGCATTGGGAATTTGGCAGATGCTACCCAGAACATACCTCCAGGGCTATCCGAGAGAAAAAAAAAAAATTAAGAAAGCTGACTCAGGTGGACCGGGAAGCTCGTGCCGTGTGGTTTCAGGATCGATGCTCCGACCCCGAAACCTGGGTCCTCTGATATCATTAGGAGAGACACGGAAGAAAAAAAAAAGAAAAGAAAAGAAAATCTCGTTGTGTGCGTATTTGTCGGAATTTTCTAATATAACTACATATGTATTATGTATAAATTTATTACACATATCAAGATAGAAAATCCATCTCCAACATATATACAAGAAGAATGGATAACTAGTTATTTACCTACAGTTGTAGATACAACATATACTATAGAAAACTTGCAATATAACAAAAGGCCAGCTGTTAAATTAATACTTGATAGTGGGGGCGAAGAAACAACAGCTGTGGGCCAATAACCGTTACTCCAGAGTTCTGCGACGGAGTACGGATCAAACGGATACCGAGGGGTTTTCTGTTGCAGTGAAGAACTGGGGATCATCCAGATTCCGTACGGGAGGTAATCCCACGTTAAGCCGAGTTGTACTCGATCATAACGCTGATAGTGGCAGTGCCCCTATGCGTACCCAGCGAAAGTCCGAAATAAAACCAGAATCCATTTTACTACCAGTACGGAGTACACCTCGTATCGCTTATGCTTGCTCCATACTGTAGTATAATCAATATATTCCTGTCCCAGAGTTCAAGTGCCGAGTACTCCGTACCCCGATTGCCACAGTCAGAAATTTAGCCCTGGAGAAGGGGTGAACTTAGGTAGCCCCCGGAACGGGGCTGGACATTTATAATTACCGGACTTTACGTGTATTGTCCGTTGAGTCCGAGATTGTATACATGGCCCAGCCTATCAGCCCTAAGTGATATATAGCCTGTTGGGAACATTTTGAACAATAAAGATACCTAAAGAAGCCTAGAACAGAAGAAAGAGGCAGTGTAAAACACAATCAAAACCATATTATACCCAATTATACGAATTCTAACAGTTGACGCGTGTAAACGTCCCCTGCCAAGTCCACTTTGAATGACAAAGCAAAGGTATTTTGACCCGGCCCCATCAGTAAGCATCCACGGGCGGGTGGTAACAATTTTACATACTCTCCCGTACTTGTACTGAGATCCATAGGGTAAGCTCAGGTGGCTACTCCATCTCTCTCTCTCTCACCCCTCGAAGCACAAAATCACCACTTTGGTGCTTCTTCTCTTCCTTTCTTTTCACTTTAATCTTTTGAATGGCCCCTTGTGGGTGCGCCCTATGACCCCTCGGCTTTCGCATTGCAATAATATTCCATCAACGATCAGCCGCGGAAACCCTGTCTTGAATAGTTTTGAATGATTACTCGAAGCTCATCAACTAGATCATCTTCAAACACGCGCACCTAGGACCCCTGATTTGCCCGAGACTGGAGTCGCCCATGAGATTGTGTTTACCTCGCCCTCAACCCCCTGTGAACGCACCCAGACCCGCAGTCTTTCTCTGCGCCAAGCGCCGTCGGATTTCGGCCACTCAAACCGGATGCTTGTCGGCTACCAATAATCAAGGTTTCTGTCAAGTTTTATGCCCTTTTTGGGCGCACCAATAGCCTAGATGGCTTCCGTGCGCTTCCCTGGGAATAATGGGGAGGAAAACAACGAGCATGGTGGTGAGATCGGGGAGGTCAGCAGCAACGTCTCCAAGCCAACGAAACGACAAAGATGGGCTACCACGCGAGCTCCTGGACCTGGAGGCATGAAGAAGCGTGTTTCCATTATTGATCGCTTCCATAAACGGTCTGATATGAAAGATGAAAAACGAAAGTCGACCAACACAAGCATCTCAGCGAATAGTGGACCCGAGACCCCGCAAGAAGGACCAAATCGGAGAATCTACTTCAGTATTCCCATCCCGGAAACCGAACGAGATGAGGATGGTCATTTGCATATCACGTATCCCAGAAACAAAATTCGCACGGCCAAGTACACAGCGCTCACATTTGTTCCCTACAACATCTGGCTACAGTTTCACAACATCGCGAACATTTATTTCTTGTTCGTCATCATTCTTAACGTACGCAGTGACATATCCGTTTCCATGGCTTCAATCCCAATTAGCATTGGCTGATAAAATTCTAGTTTTTTCCAATTTTCGGTGCCAACAATCCCGGTCTGAACGCCGTTCCTCTAATCGTCATTATCGTCGTGACCGCTATCAAAGATGCCATTGAGGATTGGGGACGCACAGTCTCTGATAATCAAGTGAATAATGCTCCGGTTTACAGACTGATTGAATGGAGCAATGTCAATTCGACAGAAGAGAACATTGATTTATGGCGTCGTATCAAGAAGGCTTCCACCAGGGGCTCGATTGCCACGTATAAATGGATTTCTTCTAGATTTCAGAAGAAAGAGCAAGGTGGAGATGACGGCCAGGGGCAAAGAAGAGGCTCGTTCTTGAGTACAGCGGATCCCCGGGCATCAATTTATACGCAGCGCAACTCCATAGCACCAGAAGACGTCGCCATCCCGATGACCGACGTTCCATCGCCTCAGCCCGAAGCTCGCGAAGATTGGCCGATGATGAGCAACCCCGAAAACAAGTATCTGTCGCCGAACACCGCGGCTCGACAGAGCGTCATGGAGCCTACGCCGGACAGGAAACATGGAACCGTCCTGGACGTATCCAAGCAGACACCCGGCAAGGCCCGATTTAAGCGAGAGCAGTGGAAAAGCCTGCAAGTTGGCGACTTTGTCCGATTGTACAACGAAGACCCGATTCCAGCTGATATCGTGATTCTGTCCACTTCTGATCCGGATGGCGCCTGTTATATCGAAACGAAAGGCCTGGATGGAGAGACTAACTTGAAGGTCCGCCAAGCTCTCCACTGTGGCCGGCAAGTTCGACACGCCAGAGATTGCGAAAAGGCAGAATTTGTGATCGAAAGTGAGGCCCCGAATGCCAATCTGTACTCTTACAATGGTGCCGTGCGTTGGGACCAGCGCGACCCACAATTCCCCGAAGCTCCCCGGAAGGAGATGGTTGAGCCCATCTCTATCAACAACATCTTGCTTCGTGGTTGCACTTTGAGGAGTACCGAATGGGTTCTGGGTGTTGTCCTCTTCACCGGCGGAGAGAGCAAGATCATGCTCAATTCCGGCGCGACCCCAGCCAAACGACCTCATATGGCAAAGGCTCTCAACTGGAACGTCATTTACAACTTTATCATCCTGTTCTTCATGTGTCTTGTCGCTGGTATTGTGAATGGAATCGCATGGGCCGCGCCGGACAAATCGCTAGACTATTTCGACTTTGGGTCCTATGGAGGCACACCACCCGTAACTGGTATTGTCACTTTCTGGACCGCTGTCATCCTGTTCCAGAACTTAGTTCCCATTTCGCTTTACATTTCGCTTGAAATTGTTCGGACCATCCAGGCGGTTTTCATCCACAGCGATCTCTACATGTACTACGAGAGACTGGGCATCTATTGTGTGCCCAAGTCTTGGAACATTTCAGACGACGTCGGTCAAGTCGAGTACATCTTTTCTGACAAGACTGGTACCTTGACCCAAAACTTGATGGAGTTCAAAAAGTGTACGGTTAACGGCCTGGCATATGGAGAGGCTTACACGGAAGCTCAGATCGGCATGCGGCGTCGCGACGGAGCTGATGCCGATGCCGAGGCAGCAGTAGCTCGGCAGCAAATTGATGCTGATGCGCAGCGAATGCTGGGTCTGTTGCGTGACATCCATGACAACCCTTACTTGCACGACGACCAGCTGACGTTCGTTGCGCCGAAATTTGTGGCTGACTTGGGAGGAAAATCCGGAGACCGACAGAAGCACTGTACCGAGGACTTCATGCTAGCCCTTGCCCTGTGTCATACCGTTATTACCGAGCATACTCCCGGAGATCCACCTCAAATTGAGTTCAAGGCCCAG